CAAAGCTCCGGACCACAGGTGTATGCAATGGAGAACGAACACGCGCTGTTGTCCTTACCGGGGAGCAGCGCACTTCACCACTACCACCCGGGTGGTGTAGTGGTGAAGTGCGCTGCTCCCCGGTAAGGACAACAGCGCGTGTTCGTTCTCCACTGCATACACCTGTGGTCCGGAGCTTTGCAAATATCTCAGCATTTCATACGAGTCATATAAGGAGGCAATTTTAGAAACCTGTCATTAGAGGACGTTTCCTTTATACAACTGACCAACACGAAGCATGAAACATGAAGAGAAGTGGGAACGGAAACAAACAGGAAAATGTAGACGTCATATGGTAAAACCCATTTTTCAGACTCTATCGCTAACCAACTTTGCCGTCTTGATCCAGTTTGAAGGTGTTGCATAATGTCAGACGAGAGTAGACCAAATTGAAATGTTTCTCAACCAAGTGATAAGCGATGTCTTCTGAAAAAAATAAAGACCCTTGGTGAAAACTGTCTTTCAGCAAAATGAAAAAGTGCTCTGTGCTGGTAGAAAACAGTATGCAGTTCGAGAAGACAAACCAACGAATGACCATGGATGGTAGGCGGTTGATGGATAAAGAACGCTTTCCATGATACCATGATCCATAACTTGCCGGAAGCTATTTGCTAGTCGACCTCCAATATATTATTTAAGTAATGTTTTTTTGCAAAATATGAAATTTACTGGCACGATTACCTCTAACGTATTCGGTAATTTCCGGTGAAACTGCCTCGTCGCCGTAGACAGTATAGTTTTTACCTCGTTCATCAACAACCTAAGACATATAAGACCAAAATAGAGACTTACTATTAAAAGAAAAGCTCTAAGCAAACGAAATACGATGACAAGACGAGCTTAAGTCTATTTAACCAATCAAGAATTGCTTTCATAAAGTGTGTTTCAACGGTGGAACTGCTAGAGTGGTGTATGAATTTGTAAAAGGAGAACAGAAAATGAAGTTACAGTGAAAGTGTTGAGACCCATGGTAAAGAAGTTGAAGGGATTTCGCTGCAACAAATTATAAAGGATACTGAATTAGAAGTATATGAATAGTGAAAGTGATACAAACCTCTACGAACTTAGCAGGGAACCATCCACGGAGCCCGTTTACTTCTCCCACCCAACAATGCTCGTCTTTCTCACAAATGACAGTGATTATATCGTTTTTCCTGGAAAGACAGAAGCTGTTAATTGCACTGGAAAAACAGACTAACAGATTTTTATTAAGTTGGCATGAAGAAAAGCACAATTTCGATCATCTCACGGGAAAAGCACAGTAGCTCCAACAATACATTCAGAATCACTTACAAGGATACTTGGACGGCCCGTCCCACTGGTTGAGCGAGCTCCAGCATAATCTACATTTTTTCGGAGTTTTGATGGCTTAGCTATCGCAGTTACCTGGTGTCCCGATGTCAGCCAGGGCAAAGTTTGCCCCAGGTCGTCACCTCCACTGCCAGTCACCGCCCTTGTGGATCAGAGGGAAATTTGCTACCATGCGACTAGTTTAGTACCAGGACGGTGATGGATCCTGGTATTGATTTATTCTTAGCTAGGTTTACAGATGGAAACGACGGACTCCTTCTCAGCTCGGAATACCCTGCCGAGGGGATGAATTCCCCCGCTATACATTGCAGCCCGACATCCAGGAACACCTCTCAGCCACAATGAGGCGACAAACCATTGGGAGGTATTCAGAATTAGTTTCAATTAAACAAAAAAGTCCCATTCGAAATAGTGGGTAAAAAATAAGCATAGCAGCTCATGAAGAAAAACGGAAGACCTTACCGGAATCCTAGCTCGTCTTCATCTCGTCGAGCAAAGTCGAGTAAAGCACGAGCTCGCTTGTGACCCTCTCGTCGACCAGTCAAAAAATTATCAATGTCCTGCATATGTGATTCAGGACTATAGTCTGCCTGGAACAGTAAATTGTCTATAGTAATCTCAAGCTGACAAGATGTGTCAAAAAAGAATCGCAGCGAAGAAATGTTTTAAAGAACCTACATTAGGGTTAAATAGACAGACAAACCTTAGTAGAAATATTTAGCTCCATTTTCTCATCACAACTAATGAAATAACGACATATTTGCATTACCGAGTCTCTCAAGTCAACAAGAATTTCAGTCTGACGAATATTTTTCAGTTTGGGATCATTCTCGCTCTGAATACGTTCCTTTAAAGAAAAGCGGGTGAATCATTATTAGGGACTATTACTGAATAAATGTTATCAATATTATTGTAACGAGAACACAACGAAAGCAACAGAAAATATTAATATATTAAGGGAAGAAATTCTAATTTAAAAGTGACTAATACTGGAAACACACATTTCACAGTTTGAATAAGCAGTGTCATCTAAGAAATCGCCTTCTTAAAATTGACGGATTTTAATCAGAATTCACAACCGTATCTTCGACCACCTACTTCTTTTAAATGAAAAATTTGATGTATAATGCTCTTCGATCTGGCTAATTTTCGACGCTGAACTTTTTGCTTCGGTAGGTTTGTATCGGTGGTAGCGTTTACTATCATCCCTTGATCGGCCATTAGAATAGCCTGCAAGAGTTCCTTTTTAAAGCAAGAACAATATGAAAACCTTTTGTTATTAAATTTGCGTATTCAATAAAAATATACCTGATATTTCTTTCGCAATTCACTAATGAGATGTTCTGTGATCGTAAACTCGAACGACGTCATGTATTCGACAAGTTTATCCACCCCAGTCACCTGAAAACAACTTAAAAGGACATTATTTGCTTGAATATTGATTCCCGTTCACAAGGTACTCCTTCCCACAGAATCCCTTAACATTGGTAGATACGAACACGTGCACCATTTGAGAAAATAACGACTTTGCAATTGCAATGTTACATCATACACAAATTCAGCCGAATACGCAGAAATCGCTGCTGTCCTGGAAGAATTCTAATCGTCAAGCAGAAATTTGCCGTCGTAGACAAATGTAGATGAGAACGACTTTTGAACGCCCTAACTTGAATATTTCAGTATCTTAGAAAAGAAACGCTAAACCATCATTTACTACGCCAATGAGGAAAGGAGCGGATAAATTTTCAAGCTTTAGCTAAAGCCATATACGAAACCGACCACGTAATATGCAAGTATTAAGCTCTATATAAAACATTTTCATAGATGTTCTTTGGTATAAAGTCACAGCTTCTTGGGGGGAGCAATACTAGTGACTGGGGCCATATCGAAAAATCCTTCAATAGCATTCATGTTTTCTACTGGATTATTCTCATTACTCAAATTTAAGGCGCTTTAATGCTCACAATACCTAATATATATTCAATATTTAATAAAAGCGAAGTTCTTGAAAGAAGAATAGAAAACTAACGCACGGAGTGCGGAAGTTGACTGACAGCATTGAAGAGGTCTGCAGACGATTTCGAGCTTCTTCCTATGTCAACGATTTCATCTTCTTTCATCTTCATAACTGATATAACTACCTTAAGCACGACTAATAAGCTGACTAAGTCCAATCACCATTTAATGAAGGCACCCTCTTGTTGTAGAACGTTGGTTTGAGCATGAATCAAAACTACGACTTCAAATGGCTTTTAGGATTCTCTGGGAATGTTAACAGCTAAATGTTAAGTTGGAACACAGCACAGTGTGGAATCTCACCACATCTTAGTTATTGATTTCGTTTACATAAAATAGAATTATAGTTACAATAAGACCACTGATATGAAGCAAAGAGAAAAACTTCTTAAGCGAGTCCTGACTCACTCCTTCTAAAAAAGCAAAGGTCGCGACTTGAAAGACTTGAACACGGCGTCTTTTTCGTAGCCATAAAACGTTCTGCCGTAAGAGTAAAACTCCAGGACAGGACTAGGAACAAATAACAGTCGTACTACTTAACTCCGTGCTGGAGGTTATGCTGAGAGTGATAAACCAACTCTTTCACCGTCCTGGACGTCAATGCTGCATGGCTCCAACTTTTAGCACACAAGATTCAGTTTCTAAGAGGATTCGATCGTCATGTTCTCACTGCAGCTCCGAGCTTATGAAGCAAAGCTGCTTGTCTAGTGGTTACCACTCCGCTTGCCTCCAACCATTCCTAGCTCATGCCATGTTAGCACAGGACGTGCAGCATCGCCTTCCCACAGGGATGTGGATGAAGATTCAGGAAACCTACGACTACCAACGCACTTGTGAACGACGTTAGAGGGATTACATCCACATGGAGCATGAAGTCATTCGGACTAATCGTGATCGATCAGAGTTGGTGCGTAGACGGCTACCTCATTTAGCGGCAGCCGATAAAGATGACATACCGTGCGATTGCAATATTCCACGAAACTTTCCAATTTTCACGTTTTCCAGTTCAATCATAGGTCGATCTCATCGCGCTGTCTCTTCTTCAAAAAAGGGTAGCCACCCAGAAGAAGTCACACCTTCGCAGTTCGTCTCAACCCCGTTGAAGCGCTTAAACCGAAACCATGCTGCCCGCTCGTTATTTGTGCAATGGCAAAGCTACTGACTGTAAATGGTAGTCGGCGTCCTGGAGGAGCACAAGTGATAATAAGGGCTCAAATATGTTGACCGTTCACTTTGATTCGATGATAATTTCCCAGGAGCGCCCGTGCTATTTCAAATAGTTGCTATAAATTGTTCTACAATAGTGTGCAAGAAGAAACAAACTGGCTTGAAACCGAATAAGAGAAAAAATCTCAGAAAAAAATAGAGAAACTATAAAGCTTCAACTTAACATATTGTTTGAAGATGTCAGCCTAAAAGTATGGAAACTTTAGTAAACTTAGACTACATAAGACTTTAGCTCATGTATTTACCATGGAATACATTGTGGAAAGCTATCAAAAATCGTACATTGCTTCTAAAAGCCATGAATATGAGGAAACAAAACATATGTGCAAAGAAAACTGCACTGAAATAAAGAGTTAAATCAAGAGAATAAGAAAAATTACCCTAAATATAGTGACGCTTCCCGTATAAAAAATAAAATCCCAAACACGCAATAGTGTTCTAATAGGAAGCACAGTGGCGAACAAAGTCATTAACCAATTGACAGTCACCAATGACACTTCCACGTCGAGTTCATCGAGTATTCGATTTAAATCTGGCACATGAGACTTCATTAGATGTCTTGTGGCCAGCTCGTCGGCCTGGAATTACTCAACAATCTGTGAACAGCGTAAGGATACTACAAAAGAACAGACAGTTTTAAATGTCTCCTGAAAGCTCAGAACAGTTTGAAAACTTTTTAATGAACTTCATACCAGCGATAGTTACATATTGTACTTGGTCGCTTAGAAATTAGTTCCCGACCTACAATTCTCGTTTTCCTCGCATTTGTTTTAGCAATACAAATTTTTTTCGAATGCTGTACTACTATATAAAATAAGAGCAAAGCTCTCGGCGTTAATCAATCCTTGAAGGATGAGCTATGCATTCCAATTCATCGTTGGAAGTGATTGAATGCATACCTGGTCTTTACAATGACTCGCGGTAGCTTACCGATCTATCGAACCAGTGGTGCTATCCTCCAGGACAAGTCTGGCACCAATTTGCCGGCTCCGGAATGATGGAAGGACTGGTCAGCCTCGGGAGAGGGTTCGATCCCTTATGTATTGCAGGGCGCCTCCAACAACTGCGCCACGCGCCCTTACTACTACAAATCTCATTTTATGCACTTGGTTTTGATAAGTTTTATAAGGTCGAATGTGTCAAAACAGCAATTTCGATAAATCTACTTCTGCGAATTCAAATTCGGACTTAGTGTACCCACACGGTTCGAAACAGTGGAGATATGGGAAATGTTAGAGAACACACAGCGCTACATGATTTCGGAAATTTTGTAGTAGCAAATTCAACGTTAAACATGAGAAAGGACGCTGGTATCTGTTTGTTATTGACGACGATGGATTGAAGGATTTTCTGTAAACAACAACAAACAAATTTCCAAGATATTGCACAAGAACTTGATATAACCACTTCACCTGTTACGAAACATCTTTAAAAAATCGGAAATTGGAAGAAACACGAGAAATGGGCGCTGCCCGAAATGAAAGACAATCAAAGAAACAGCCGTGCTGAGCTACGATCGGCCATTCTTCTGAGGAACCAGAACGATCCGTTTCCCAATAATACTGTTAGCACGACAAGAAGTGGATCCCCAACGAAAACCGGGTGCCATCGGCTTAGAGTTGGATTACGAAACTTTGTCCCATCCTTCACACTCAGCAAACTTTTCGCTCATCGATTACCACTTTTCAAGCAACTCGATAACTTCCTGAACGAGGATACGAGGAACGCCTTTGAAAGAGCCAGGACCGAAACATGCTTTCAACGACTTTATCGCCCCTAGTAGTCTAGAATTTTAAGCAAACGGTACAACCGTACTTGTCTCTCGCTGGCAAATATGTCTGTGTTCCAAAGATTTTCATAACAAGTAGTAAAATTTATTTTCAAGTAAGATATCCCACTCAAACCATTAATAAAATATTATCCTAGTAGAGAAATTGTAAACCGCGCTACAATAAGTGAGGTTTGTTGAGAAACTTCTCCACTAACCTGAACACCTAACAACGATTGACTATAGTAATTTGGAGGTAAAATATCCTCGATAAGGGTAGCCATCATCCAGAATGTTGTCTCCTCCGAGCAAAAAAGAAGAAGTGTTGCTGCGATAACACCTGAATTTCTTTTACGGAAGTGTACATAAAACCGAAAACATTGATGCCTTCTTAGGACAATTCATTCAGCACAACAAATTAGACAATATTTAAAACTATACTATTATATTATAATAAAAAGCACTGTGTCTTATGAATTTTTAAGAGTTTAGTGGAGAATGGTTGAGAAAGAAAAAAAAACTAACCCATTCCATCACAGAAGCCAAGATCAGGGTAAATGAAAGCTATGGCTTTCAGAACTCTTCGTAATGCGTCAATTCCTATACTATTTTTCTTCCAGAAACAGATGTTATTTGGCAGAGTCCTTAACAGACTTCTTTCGATTTGAACACCTAAATGCATTCAAATGCTACTAGACAGAAAATGTTTTTACGACTGCTTCAATGTCATGAAACATCGACACATTTGAAGAATAGTTTTCACCACAGATATCGAATATCTTACTTTATACTTGATAGCTCAATGGTCCGTCCTCACGTTGTGCTGGCCCCAGCACAATCTCCGCTTTTCCGAGATTTCCTGGTTAAACCACCGTGGTTCCCTGGAATCCCGAGGTTAGCCTGGCCAAAGTCTGCCCAGGTCTTCACCACCACAGGCAGTCGCAACCCTTATGGATCAGAGGGATCTGGTATTGGTTTACTCTTCGCTAGGAATCCTAATGGAAACAACGGATCTTTCTCAGCTTGGGAGACCCTGCCAGGGGATGAATCCACCGCTGTACATCGCATACCAACACCTAGGAACACCCCCCACCCACGATAAGGCGGTAAACCGCTGGGAGGTAACGAACAACTAGGTTAAACTATTACGGCAAAGTCTTCATAACTGCTAAAACATACCTAAAAGGTAAGGAAAATTGTTTCAACTGGAGAAGACATCAGTAAAAACATTAATATTTTTTCAGCCGATTGTTACTTTCTACTTGTGCAAAATTTACTCATCTATCACACTCTCACGTTGTTACGAGTGTATTAAAATACAGCGATAAGCATTTAATTAACAGCAACCTATCAGTCCGTTATTTTCGACTTAAAAATTCAAAAAGTAAACGAATTTTTGGATTTGGATTTGCAAAAAGTCTTCCAATTGTTTAACGGCTCATAGAGGCTGAGAAGTATTCCTGAATCAAGAAATGCGACGTACATCAGAGGTCCATTATCACCAAGGTACTCTAAGCAGACAATCAGCTTCACATTTCCACCTGAAATCCTAACTAAAGGGCGCGTGTGACGCAGTCAGTGGTCGCAGGCACCTTGCAACACACGCGTTGAATCGTTCCCTATGCCCATGCATTACAAAGCCTTCCATCCCTCCGGGGTAGGCAAATTAGTACCAGATTTGCCTGGAAGGATACAGAGCTGGCTCTATACATCGGTAGGTCACCACGAGTCATTTTATAGGCTAGATATATATTCGATCATCTCCAAACGATACTTAATGAAATCATTGCCCATCTCTCAGGGACTGATCAAAACCGACAGCTTTATTCTTTATCCTAGCTAAAATATACCAACGCTAGTAATGCCCGCTTCTTGGCAGTACGTTGATCACAAAATGGTGAATGGTAAATTCCTTGTGATCCACGGCAGCTATCGACTGGGCTCGCATGATTTCATGTGAAGACAGATCATTCAGATATAAAAGCAGTTCGAGAATTTCTTTCGGGAAATTTAAGCCGTACAAAAACTTGATAATGTGATAATGTGGCATAAAAACGCGTCATGTAAAACAAACACCGTTAGGCAAAATAACGTGGTTCTGGATCAAAAAGTGATCAAATTCAAACTGACTGCAAAATCTAATACCTATAGACGGTTTGTCTTGCGCGGATTGCCGTAAAACTTCGCTATAGGAATAACCAGCTGCAGAGCACTTATCGGTTGCGCCAGCGAATCGTGGCCATAAATAAGGCCTCATTGAATGAGGAATACCTAAAGATATCGGAGCTAACGGTGCGTTCAAGCATAGGTTGCAAACACATTATGCTGTAAATTTCAATATTTCTAGAATAACAATTAATAAAAAAGTAGTACTGCTCCGGTATTGCATTCGATATGACTCATAAAGGCACATGCGTACGTACGAGCCACATATGAGTGCGCAGTGATAGGTGGTTAAACCACCGACCCTACATGTTACTGCATTAACTACATTCGCATATTCTCATCCAATGGACATATACACTATAACTAAAAAAGATTTCTATGAATGAGATCGATTTATGCCGAGTGTTTTAACAGTTACTTGGATAATTGGACGATCCGTCCTCACTGGTTGTGCGAGCTCCAACATACTCTCCACTTTTCGGAGTTTTGCTGGTTTAGCCATTATGTTCCCCTGGAATCCCAAGGTCAGCCTGACCAAAGTCTGCCCTAGGTCACCATCACGACAGGAAGTCCGCGCCTCTGTGGATCAGAGAGAGATTCGCCACTATGTGACTAGTTTGGCACCGGCACGACGGCAGAAAAACAGCCAAACAGACTTTTACTAAGTTGACATGAAGAAAAACACAACTTGGATCATCTCAGGAGAAAAGCACAGTAACACCAAGAATACATTCAGAATCACAAAGATACTTGGACGGACCGTCCCAGTATGTTGCGCGAGCTCCAGCATAATCTCCATTTTTCCGGAGTTTTGATGGCTTAGCCAACGTGGTTCTCTGGTGTCCCAATGTAAGACAGGCCAAAGTCTGCCCCAGGTCGTCACCTCCACTCGCAGTCGCCGCCCTTTTGGACCAGAGGGAAATTTGCTACCATGCGACCAGTTTGGTACCAGGACGGTGATGGATCCCGGTATTGATTTATTCTTAGCTAGGCTTACTGGTGCAAACACCGGACTCCTTCTCAGCTTGGAATACACTGCCGAGGGGATGAAACCCTCGCTGTACATCGCAGCCTGACACCCAGAAACATCTACTAGCCACGATGAGGCGGTAAACCGTTGGGAGGGTTTCAACATTTAGCTAGCGAAAACGGAAAAGGTAAAAAAAAATCGATTAACTATACTAACCTCCGTCTTTAATAAGCTGTTGTACCCTGTCAGTGTACAATGTCTCAACGTTTACTTTTGACCATACTAGTTCATCCTTTAAGCCTGAATGAGCGAATTCGAGTGCAGCGAGAAAGCGCATTCTGAAAACCAGAATGAATTTGTTGAAAATGGAAGAAAAATAAACTTGAGAAATTGGACATTAATAACCATTTGCAGAACTAGATACGGAAAACCGAAAATATGAATAAGAACAAGACAGTGGCGCTGAAAACAATAAGAATGGATACTTGAGACACAGAGTGGAGATGGACAGAGACATAAATGCTGTTGGAGCAAACAGAAAATACATCAACCAAAATTATGCCTAGAAATAACGAGATAATATCGCCCAGTCAATACCTATGTGAAGCGTTTTCAATTTCAACCGCCTCCCCAGCTTGCCCTGCTGTATCATCTCCTTTTCGAAAACCAAATTCATCAAAGCTGAAAATAATAGTGCTTTATTGCTCGTTAAAATTTGTTGCCTACAATACAGAGCTCGAAAATACGTTACTATTCTTTCGGATCTTCTATAAAAGAGGGTACTAAATCGGCGCTGATAGCAGAAAATGGTGTATCATCGAGAGTGAAAGCCGAGGTATGAATTGGCTGATCGACCTGGAAAAACAATACGTACACTAAAGGAAGACGAAAACTAACTTTAAATCAAGTTCTAAGTGGTTCATTATAGAAGTAAGGCTAGCATGAATGAGATCGATCTAGCAAAAAATTTGAACATGATGAGGTATGGTATGGAGTTTGTATCAAGAACCACTGAAACATCAGACAAATACTCGACTATTGAGAACGATATCCAACTAAGAAGTAGTAACACCTGATTCCAAGTCGGGTTTGTTAATTAATAATATGAAATATTATGAAATCTGAAGAGCTATTAACTGGAACCTTCAGCTGAATCACAGAGGAAATAAACTTCAAGTCAATCCAGTTCATTCACAATGATGTATTCAGAGTAATGTTCATTTCTCATTGTACAAAGTTAAGGAAAAAATATAACGCACTCGGCGTTGATCAATCCGTGATGGATGCACCAAGTATTCGACTTCATCAAACATCGTTGGAGGTGAGTAAATACATATTTGGCTTTTACAATGACTTGCTGTGGCGTACCGATGTATCGAGCCAGTGCTGCTATCCTCCTAGAGAAGTCTGGTACCAATATGGCGAGCCTTGAGAGATGGAGTGCTTGGTGAGCTTGGGGCGCGTTATCGATTCCATGTGTCTTATAGGACGCCTCCGACCCCTGCGCTACGCGCGCCCCACCCCATTGCATAGAAAAACAGTAAAAACTAAGCAGAATAAAGAAAATATTAACAGGGAAACATGAGGCTCTTTGCACAGAAACCAAAAAGAAAAAAAAGAAAAAAGAAATCGACGAACACGAAATCGAAAGGACATGACTTGCCTCTTTCGTCGTTTCGTACGTTCTTCTCGCACAAGCAATCGGCATTTCATCGTCACCATCATTATCGACAACAGTCTCAGCATATTTAGCATTTTTTCCTATACATAACTTTATCACAGAAATATGAAAACATGTACAGAGAATTCATCATCACCTTGCTTATATTTTGCCATATAAGAGTTGTCTCGTACCTACAGTATGTCCTAAAATGATACTTATTTAGAGTTGAGTACAATACAAGGTTTTACAAGTAAAATAGGTAAACAAAATGTAAGCTGTAGGCCGCTACCATAGTCGGCCACAATAACAACCCTGGCTGAATCCATGTGATGTCATCGCATCGAATTAAGCTTCTGAATACTCCGCGACGCGAATACGCACGCAACACCAGACGGCGGTCGATAAGCAAGAGTCCAAAGGCGATTAATCTTCAGCACTGAAACGGAACTAGTAAGTAACCCCTCAAATAGAGTTGACCGCCTCAGAACAATGAAATGACACACCACTTCATTCAGGCATTTGTGTGTTTAAAAGATCTAATTCATTTACAAACTCAAATTTTAGCTACAAAAAGGATAAAGCTATCGGAATTGTTCAATCCCTAAGGGATCAAGCAACGTTAGAGGTGACTGAATCCAAATCTGGCCTCTACAATGACTCGTACTGACCAATCGGACGTATCGAGCCACAAGCCACTGCCGCTATCATCAGACAAGTCTGGTATTCGCCGCTCCCGGAGGTATGAAGGGCTTGGCCAGGCTTGGGCGTTCGGATCGATCCTATATATATTGTGGTGCGCATTCGACCAGTGCACTAACTGCGCGCAAATTTTAGCTATGGGTATAGTAAAAGTAACGGAAAGATTAATCTCAGAGACGATATGTAGTTGAATCATCATAGTCGCTTTTGAACAGAGCATTGAAGCACGCCGCCTCAGTATCTTATCAGACGTTGGCGAGTACTGATGGTCGTTAACAACTGGAGATCGTCTTCTTGAATAAACACTTCCCATAGTTTTATTTGAGTTGTCATTTCAAAAATTATCTACAAATCATAAGAATAGTTTTCAAGCTCCCATATTTCTTGAACATTGCTAGAATAGACCGCATGCGATTTTAACGCTATAAGGCAAGAATTGAGAACTTATATCATGTATGTGCTACAGTTCTATTCTAACAGATAATATTTTGTATTTCGATAGAAAAGCTGTATACTCACTTGGATACTTGGATGGCCTCTCCTCACTGGTTGTGAGGGTCCAAGAATAATTCCCATTTTTTCGGAGTTTTGCTGGTTTAGCCACTGTGGTTTCTTGAAATCTCTAGGTCAGCCTAGCCAAAGTCTGCCCTAGGTCGTCATCACCACAGGCAGTTGCAGGCCTTGTGGATCACAGGGAGATTTGCCACCATGCGACAAGTCTGATACTAGGATGGTTGCAGATCCTGGTATTTGTTTACTCTTAGCTGGGCTTCCTGATGGAAACGCTGGACTCCTCGGCTTGGAAGGCCCTGTCTGGGCTATGAATTCACTCACAGTACATCGCAGCCCGACAGCCTCCCAAGCACGATGAAGTGGTAGACCGTTGGGAAGATTGTTGAGTATAAAATCTCCAATTTTAAACGAAATGGTTGGAATAGTACAACTTTCTCCAAAGCGCTACCAATCTAAGTAATTATGACTAGGATCAGACATTACAATTCCCGCTAACATATTCCAAGCTTACGATTTGTGAATCCGAAAATGTCTCCAAAGGCCATTTTTACTGCACATCGATGACGATTCTTCTAGAGAGTAGAAGTATATCGTTCAAATGTAAAAATGTGCAAATTTACTGATTACGGACCTGGTAGGGCAAATAAGATAGAATTCGTACTCCAAGTGTTCAGCAAACCAGTATCAGGAACCACCACCGTTCTGGTAGCAAACTAGTCGCATGGTGGTAAATCTCCCTCTGGTCCACAAGGGTCGTGACTGCTTGTGGTGGTGAAGACATGGGGCAAATTTTGGCTAGACTGACCTCGGGACTCCAGGGAACCACAATGGCCTGATCAGCAAAACTCCGAAAAAGTGGAAATTGTGCTACGGCCCACACAACCAACAAAGACGAGCCATCCAAGCAGCCTAGGAACTGTTCATCATCTATTCGAAAAAGTTACCACGATCTTCCCTTCATGTAATTTTGATTTCGGTAATTGTGATGTTTTCATTTTTCCTGGAAACTTTTCTAAACGAGTTCACTTACCACATGACGTTCTCTTCTGCCACACATGCTGTTATCGCCATTCTTTTAATCTATATGGCACTCACTTGTAAAGTTTTCCTTGATTTCCAAGTTTAACTAAGATCGAAACTCGTCTTCCACCTATGGTATTATTCTACAAGCCCTTGAACTGTTGCGAAAACTACGCTTAAAAAGTTCATGTAAAACACTCTTAGAAAGAGACTAGATTGAATGATACAGTTCACAACTTCCATTTTCTACAGCCGTACAGAAATGTACATTTCATATTGAACCTATACGGACGAACCTACCACTATTGTATGAATATCCAAAACGTTACATAATGCGAATGATTCAGCGAGCTCTTAAAAGAACTATTACAACACTACGTTGTACAATAATATACTAATCGAGGACTAATATGATTAATTACCTAGTTATAAAAAACGAATCAAACTCAACTAAAATTCATTTGCGATATACCCCCATGAAAAGAATTACTTCTAAGTTTTGCACAGTTTATTATAGAATTAGGGGAATGAAGTCTAGTCGAGAGTAGTGAATCCCCCACTCAAACACACCTAAATCACGATTTATTAGCTAACAAAACAACAAATACGAGATGTCTGAAAAAATACTTGTAGATAGATAAAGACTCTTAAGCGGTGGGTTTCAAGATGATATCAATGATTTCGCAAGTTCCAAACATTTTAATGGGCGGACCAAAATAGTTAACACCGGCCGACACGTACACATATGTTCCAGTGGCTGCGTAATAGTAAAGACCTCTAAACAACAGCGTATTATCTCATTACGAACAAACTAGGAATAAACCTAATGAGTAATCACTAAACCTTGCAAACGCATTCATCATGTAGATTATGGGAACGAACAAATACATTTGCCCACCATGGGTATGTCCTAAAGTCTTTGGGAAGATTAATAAACACTTCCACAGAAAACGTCAAAACATTTTGAAAGCTTCTTTCATGACTACCTTACCTCTACGCTATACCAACATTGTTTTTGAGTATATTTCGCTAGAAAAAAATTTTATGAAAAACAGAAAACACCTGATAGTATTAAGTCGAGCTTCATATTAACGATCGGATCGTTCAACATTACACCAGCGGCATTTGGCTGATGAGCAAGCATAATGACGACATCGTCAACCTTACACCCGTCAACGGCTTTCCGCACATCCATAAAGTGCCCAGGCAAACTGCAGAAAGAATATTTGACTAAAATAGAAACATCCACTAGTTAGGTAATAGTAAAGCAAAATCCACCAAAATCGGATAACCTATTATGAATTCATATGCAGCAGTATAAAGGATGAAGATCTGGAGCCTATGAATCTCGCTAAGGTAAAGGATAAAGCTCTTGGCGTTGATCAATCCTTGAAGGATGCACCATGAATTCGACTTCATTAAGCATCGTTTGGAGCTGATTGAGTGCATATCTGGCCTTTGCAATGACACGCGGTGGCCTACCGATGTGCGAAGCCAGTGGTGCCATCCTCCCAGATAAGTTTGGTAGCAATTTGCCGACGCTGGATTGACGGAGCGGGCAGGGGAGCCGGAATCGTATTGCAGAGCGCCTCCAAACTCTGCGTCTCAAACGTCCGTTAAGATATAACACTTAAATTGAAATTGAGAAGCTGACTTGTACTTCCACACTAATGTGTTACCAAAGATGGCACAACTTGGTATATTAACACTTAAAAAGTAAGCCTGCTACCAAGTGAATGACAATGAACAGATGAAGAAATAGTTGGCCTGGGAGAAATAACAAGTGAGGGCCTGACAAAACATCGTATTACTTCTCGAAATTAAGAAGAGATTAATTTGATTTGGTTGATAAAACGCATCATATAAACTTACAAGATAAAGAACCCCCTAACAAGGTCGAAATTTGGTTAAAACTATAGTTAGCTTAATGTCATTTGTGCAGAAAGTAATACAATGAAACAACGATACACCCTCCCACTGGTTTACCGCCTCATCGTGGATGAGAGGTGTTCCTGGGTGCCAGGCTGCGATGCAAAGCAGAGGATTCATCCTCCGGTAGAGTCTCCCATTCTGAGGAGTCCGGCGGTTTCGTCAGGAAGCCCAGCTAAGAGTAAACCAATGCAAGAATCCACCACCGTCCTGGTACCAAACTAGTCGCATGGTGGCAAATCTCTCTCTGATCCACAAGGGCGGCGACTGTCTGTGGTGGTGAAGACCTGGAGCAAACTTTGGCTAGGTTGACTTCGGGACTCCAGGGGACCAAAATAACTAAACCGGCAAGACTCCAAAAAAAATAAAAATTATCCATCCAACAAATCACACTAACTGAGCCTTGGCTGCAAAGAGATCGTCCGCACCGGCAACACATATGCTATCCCCATTTTCTGACGTGAATCGTCGTTGTGAATTGTGAAGTACAGTAATGTTACAAGCCTCCAGGAAGGAAAACCATTCTTCCACGCTACCATGCATATATTCGTGATTACCTATAACTCACCCGATTGATTTAGATGAATTTATAGCGAATTTGCAAAAAAAAAAAACAAAGAATGTGTAAGCGGAACCAAATTTACCTGTAGCAAAATAAACACCGTGTTTAGCCATTAAGAAACATAGCGGACTAGCCGCTTGCCCAAAATGTCTGACGAAACCATCTGCTAAATCACCAGAAATTGCGATGATATCTGAAATGAGGAGATAAAATAACGAAAGAAAAGTGCATATTAAAAACTATTCGTTATTTTTCTATGAGGAACTCACCATGACGTAGGCTTAATACTAGCAATTATCGGAATATTTTAGAAATCTTACTCAAATTTTCTTAAAGTGTTTGTCAAACAATTCAACACGAGCTTTGATACCTCAGTACGTAAAATCACAATAACCTGTTGCTCTTATAATGAGTGGGTTTGTATGAACTCGGAACGGTAACACTACAGAGCCCGCGCTGGACCAACCCGTTTCTTAAAGGATATAGCTGCTATTTGTCGGCGATTAGGCCCTACTTAATATATGCGAAAATGCCATATGGCCCGCAGCTTACCGGCTCGCGATCCCTCACATGGTTGAGGTCCATAGGTTATTATAATAGACAAAATAAAGTAGTATATCCTTTTGATGTAAAAAAGATGAACCTGGATCCAAACCATTCGTAAGTTGTACAATTCTCTCCATTCTTTTTTGACCAACTGTTGGACCAATATGAAGATCTGACAAAAGTGCCACACGTAATTTACCATTGTGTAGCTTCTGCAATTTATTGATGTATGAAAAGTGCCTCATTCACCGAGTACATAAAAACTTGTATAAACGTCAAGGCTAATGCATTTTGAAGGAAAGTGGAAGGAGCCCAAGTTTTATAAGAAAGTTCGAAGCAGCTATAAAAGATAAAGCTCTTGGCGTTGATGAATCCTTGTGAGATGCGCCATGCATTTGACCTCATTAAGCATCGTTTTAAGGTGATTGAATGTATATCTGGCCTTTACAATGACTCGCGGTGGCCTACCGATGTATCGGGCCAGTACTGCTATCCTCCCAGACAAGTCTGGTACCAATTTGCCGACCTCGGAGTGATAGAAGGCTTGGTGAGCCTTGGGCACGAGGATCGATCCTATGTGTATTGCAGGGCGCACCGACCACTGCGCCACACGCGCCTATTAGAGCAGCTACACAATACAATACCTTAACAGCATTGTGAAACGAAAAGGCAGTATGACCTAGTAACGTAAGAAAAAGAGACATATCACATGACAGAAAAGAACCCTACCTTTAGTTCAACCGATATATGCGTGTATACGGGGTCAGAGAATGTTGTAAAAATGCCACCAATGATAAACAACATAGCAAAAAATAACGACAGAAATATAAGTACATGACGGTTACCAATTATATATCTGAAAAACATGTATTTTACCCCTTAGATAAGGGAATACCCTTCCTCCTTTAGCTAACTTGCTTGGATCGACTTTCGCATCTTCATGAAGAACAAACAAGAGTTTGATTTTGTTAAGCTTTGAGATCCACCTTATAGGGAGAGGTTAATACATAAGCGAACATTAAAAGTGACTCCTGACTCGAAGGCTTTAGGTAGGGACCAAGTAACATCACACTGGGATATGATATAGTCGAAAGAAATCTTAAACGATATAATCACCTTACCTACTAGCTGACTGAAAAACACCGTATTTTAAAGATATTGTACTGGAAATATGGATAAATTCTGCAATCATCAAAAACACAACAATGTGAAGATATGTTGCTAATCCAATAAAACTAAGCTGGGCTAGAAGATGAGGTTCCGAACCTGAAATGGAAGAACATCTTTGGTTTGTTCGACCTTGGTAATTTGCAATAATCTACATTTTATGCCGGGAACACTAAACTCGTCAATGATAATGTGATCTAGCAAGAACCTTTACCGAGGAAGAAAAAGTAGAACAGGAAGGAAAACTGCGACAAAGCAAGCAAAATAAGAAGCGAAGCACGCATGACGTCTTGAAAGCAAATCGTTCGCCATCGGAGTCGAGTTGACGCCACGTTCTCTGGATCCCAAATGCTAAAAGAAAGAACGAGAAAATATAAAAAAATTCGACACCAATCAAAAAAAGGATAAAGCTTTCGGCGTTTATCTATCCCTGAGGGATACGCCATGGATTCGACTTAATAAGCACCGTTGGAGGTGGTTGAATGCATTTCTGGCCTTCATAATGACTCAGGGTGGCCAACTGATGTATCGAGCCAATGCCGCCATCTTCCCAGATAGGTGTGGTACCAATTTGCTAACCCGATAAGAATGGAAGGCTTGGTGAGCCACGGGAGCGGAGACCAAGCCCATATGTGTGTTGCAGGGCGCTTCTGAGCACTTCGGTACACGCGCCCACACCGATCAAATAATGCAAAATTATGCATGAACAAGCAGAGATAAGTCGCTGAAGAATCACAGAAGAATGTGAAATACGAACTAATAATTATAACTCTCCTCCTAACGGTTGGCCAATTCATGGCCTGGAAGTGTTCCTGGGTGTCGGGCTGCTGCGTACGGCCGGGAATCCATCCCCCAGCAGAGTTTTCTAAGCTGAGGAGGAGTCTGGCGTCTCCATCAGGAACCCCAGCTAAGAGTAAACCAATACCTGGATCCACCACCGTCCTGATATTGAACTAGTCGCATGATGGAAAATCCAGATTCCGCCTGTAGCGATGACGACCTGGAGCAGACTTTAGCCGTTCTGTCCTCGGGACTCCAGGGAAACACGATGGCTAGACCAGCAAAACTTCGAAAAATGGAAATTATGCTGGAGTCCTCACCACCAGTGAGGATGGGTCATCCACGTAACCAAGTAAGTTATTATCATAAATCTAGACAATCACACTCGTATGTTAAGATCTCTAACAACGGATACTTTCTAGATGTTTATTTCACTGTAAATGTAGCCAGTACATGCAAATATGTGCTTTATATGAATGTGTCGTTTTCTTGCTCAGCAATCGCGAGGTTTTTAAACAGCATACATTTACTTCCATAAAGAAAACACAATACAATACAACGCTAGCTGACGTTTCGGCAGTATCGCCTTCTTCAGAGCCTGGAAGGGTATACTGATATACAATCTACTAGGCCAAACGCTTCAATAACACTTACAAAAAGACGAAGAACTCTCCGGTAATTACACAATTAACAACTTCTCGAAAAACCCACCGCTTTTTTTCGTGACTTCCAATGAGGAAGTTTAGAACAGCTGATTATAGTCGCATGTGGTTGACGACTGCACCATCCCACATCAAAAATCGATGCGAACGTACGAGATCAGGTCGCGTATGATCTCCGGGCATTCGTCCCTGCTATTCATTGTAGGGTTTTTGGCATTGATCCAAAAAGCCTCAAGGAGTTTTCGCGCTGGTGTTTTGGACTCCTGTGCAAGGATATTGACTTTCACTTCAAAAANCAGCAATCGCGAGGTTTTTAAACAGCATACATTTACTTCCATAAAGAAAACACAATACAATACAACGCTAGCTGACGTTTCGGCAGTATCGCCTTCTTCAGAGCCTGGAAGGGTATACTGATATACAATCTACTAGGCCAAACGCTTCAATAACACTTACAAAAAGACGAAGAACTCTCCGGTAATTACACAATTAACAACTTCTCGAAAAACCCACCGCTTTTTTTCGTGACTTCCAATGAGGAAGTTTAGAACAGCTGATTATAGTCGCATGTGGTTGACGACTGCACCATCCCACATCAAAAATCGATGCGAACGTACGAGATCAGGTCGCGTATGATCTCCGGGCATTCGTCCCTGCTATTCATTGTAGGGTTTTTGGCATTGATCCAAAAAGCCTCAAGGAGTTTTCGCGCTGGTGTTTTGGACTCCTGTGCAAGGATATTGACTTTCACTTCAAAAAAATTAATTGTGTAATTACCGGAGAGTTCTTCGTCTTTTTGTAAGTGTTATTGAAGCGTTTGGCCTAGTAGATTGTATATCAGTATACCCTTCCAGGCTCTGAAGAAGGCGATACTGCCGAAACATCAGCTAGCGTTGTATTGTATTGTGTTTTCTTTATGGAAGTAAATGTATGCTGTTTAAAAACCTCGCGATTGCTGAGCAAGAAAACGACACATTCATATTCCAATGCCGAGGTTAAGAGAAAGTCGATCTTGGGAACTATGTGCTTTATACTTACCTCAACGCTGTTATCACTCTTCTCCAGATGAATACCGAGCCCACTACCATAAGAAATTCCAAGTTCAAAAGATCGTGAATTCGTTTCAGACGATAGTACGCGACTCCAGTCAATGTGAATAGCAGGTATACCACTACACATTGTGTAACGGTGAATACAGTAAGAAATATGTAATGAGTAAAGGTCAGTCGCATTTTGTATACCGCCAACGACGAGCAATACCGCAACTAGACTTAACCATAGTTTAAAAGAGAACTATGACAAGAATGAACTGAAAAAGCAAATGTTTCGAATGAAGTCTCGTCGCTAACAACATAAGCTCTTCTTCATGACTGAACACTAATAAGCAGTCAAAATGCCCTGTAGAACTGATCTTATTGATTACGTATGGTATCGACTTAGTAATCTCTGAATGGAAGGACAGACTTCCACCCCAGGATAGTCGGGGGTTTTGTCTTAGCTACTAGCGAGCAGGCCTATGGTAATAGTGTACTATTGCGTCAAATTGTGTGCAGCAGGCGGTTACAGTACCCTTTAAATACTCTATTGAAGGGTGGAGGAGGGGGAGGGGGTGAGTGTGTGGGTGACGTTCGGGAGCTGCAAATCTGAGAGCAAATCCGCGAAAGTTTGCTGTCCTTGCCTTCTGCTCGGGAAACGAGACGAGGACAACATTCGACAGCTGCTCTTATGAGTCAAATGTTCGTCCGGCCGATCGGCGCACGCGTCATTTGGATAGTTGTAGTGTTGTTGCTGTTCATTATTCGTTATGTTTAAATTCCATTAGTGCTTAACGTCAATGCTAATCGATGAGTGTCGTTCGCGTTTTATGACTTTTATGTTTTTCATATTGGTATTTAATTTGGAAATATTGTCTGCTGTACCTTTTCTCATTGATAAGCTAACACGAGAGTGGTAGACAATCTCTATTCGGGCTAACGTTTCGCCGTCTTCGTCTTTCTCAGAGAGCCAGTGATCCGATTTGATAGCTCTCAGTCGTTCGTCTTCTCGATTTGGTGTCTTCGACGTGCAACAAGACACCATAGCGTAGACGACTTGGGTCATCGGCTCTGAGGAAGACGAAGACGTCGAAACGTTATCCTGAATAGAGTTTATCAACCCCGTGTTAGCTCATCAATGAAAGAACTATATATTGATTGCTCAGGCCGAGGTTAAAGGAACGTCGCTTTGTGTAGGGTTGTCTGCTGTGTTGAGGTTTAAATCATACGACAATGTCGGGCTCTGTTTCACCAGCACGTATCTCACGCGTCTTGTCCAACGCAAAAGTAGCCAAACAACTCGCAGTAAGTTTACTGCTAAGGTTTTTCTTCATGTGTGTTGTCGAACTTTGCACGATTTCAGGGCCTGAGTATCCGTTCGGATGATGTTATGGATCAGGGTGAGAGTGCTCGCCACGAAGGTCGCTTCGTGTTTGAGTGCAGCTGGGAGGTTGCGAACAAAGGTATTTGCACTTTCATTCTGCACTAGGATGTCATCTTTATAGCTTTTCTCTCAATAACAAGGGGGTTGGCTTCAGGGAATATCGTAGTTCTCTGACTGCTATATAATTCGTGTGTAAAATAAAGAAGCAAAAGCCTTATAGCACCAATGTGCTGTTGAGATCTATGGATGGAAACTGGTGAGCACAATTTTGAATGGTAGAAGTCGCTTATACCATGGGGCCTGTGCCTTGCAGGTCGGAAGCGCCCTGCAATATACGTGGGGTCGATCCTCGCGCTCCGGGCTCACCAAGCATTCCATCTCTCCGAGGTCGGCAGATTGGTACCAGACTTGTCTTAGAGGACAGCAGCACTGGCTCGGTACATCGGTAGGCCATCGAGAGTTATTGTATAGGCCACATGTGCATTCAGTCACCTTCAACGTTGATTAGAGAAGTCGAATGCATGGAGCATTCCTCAGGGATTGACCAATGTCGGGAGCTTTATCGTTTTTTTTTCGGGCCCCAGCATAATTTCAATTCTCCGAAGATTTCCTGGTTTGGCCATAGGTAGTTTTCTGGGGGCCCTTGGACAGTCTGGTCAAAGTCTGCCCCACGTTTTCACATAAGCTTTGTAAATTCAGGAATTTTCAGGAATGAAGTGGAGGATATCCTTTTTGATAAGAAGATTTTCCGTACATATCAGTGTGCGATTCCTTTCTAACTCCTAATGATTTTGAATATGTCGCCTTCTGACCTACTTCCACAGCATTTGTCTAAGTCTACTCAAAATGATTTCTGGAAAACTCATAAATTACTCTTAATTTAGGAGACGCATTGGTACCTAGTCATGATTTAAGAATTTCCAATGAGCTTCTCTTAAATGGGTATAGCATAGCTCCAGCAATTTATTTAAACTTCTAATTCCAGTGGGAGGTATCTACACCGTGCTTCGTACAAAGGCACCAATATCCACGGAAGAACTCGGAGATCAGTATTGCATGCTTGGACCATATAATGAAGATCGCGTTCGACTAGAGGTAACAAATGTTACTTGTTATTCCTATTACCTATGGTCTTCATTATCTTAGATCTATCAAAATTCCTTAAATTTGAATAGATTTAGATTGATCTAGAATGTGTAGGGCAAGGTCAAAATAAAATGTACAACTTATGTGCCCACCATATCTCACCGAAATGTGTTTCTTATTGGAAGTTGTTTGAATTGAAATACCCAATTTAGGTCGAAGTACTAGAACCGGACAATGCAGCGATGAAATATGCCCTAGAACATGTTAGAGATTGTGGTTTTAAGGTTTGTGAAAGTGAATCTGTATTCCATGGAAGATACTAATTGCTTTACTAGGCTATTTATTTGTCCCTCACTTTTAGCTGTTATATGGACGTTGGCTCATTGATGGATATCCGAAAGTGATACTATTCGACATAGGCTCAGCAGCTTGGAAATTGGACCAATGGAAGCAAGAAGTGGGTTTTTTTTAAATTGGGCTCCAGCACCGAAATATCGATCTATATTTGAAGATGTGGTCGGTGACAAAAGTGGGAATCCCTTGGCACGATCGCGAATCAAACGACTGTATAATTCTAGGTTTCATGGTGGCAATTTTTCTCCAAAAAGTTAGTTTTTACGTTAATTTCTGTTTATTTGAATGAATAGTGTTTAAGAAATCTTACAAAAACATGGGAGTGTTGATGAGGAATTTCATGCATCACTCCATTTTAGTTTGCTGAAGCAGTATCATCAAGTAAACCGCTTATCGTTGGACATTTTCACGAATGGCAATCAGCTGCCGGTCTTATAATGAGCAGGTGAGAGCCGTACGAGCATATATCCCATCATTTAAATGTGGCCGTGGTAGTTTCTATATGCACAGTTCATATTGGAAATACTGAAGCTAAAAATGAATAGTGAGAAGAGCGCTATGAACGGTTTTTCATACACGGAATTGTTCTGGAGGTAAAATTAGTCATGCTTACGGCATAACTATTTATCGCTCTGTCGTGACGAATAAAAAACAAATAATTGTGCTAATCTTTTATTTCTGCCTAATATAATTTTTCACGGCACGGTATGATGCGAGATACACCCACAAAGATCCCCAGATATTCTGAAAACTTGTATTCCTGGCCAAATCAAACCATGATCACCTTTTCCGTAGGCTCACGCGTTGCATAGTGCACCACTGAGGCCTTTGATTTGGGTTTCTCTCAGCTTGTCTTCTAGCTAACGCTGCGATCAGCAATCATCCATCAGAGGGATAACGTGAATAAGTAGGAAAAACTGCCGAAGTTCACTATATTGATCATAATAGGGTTCACTCAGACTTGTTATCCATTAAGAACAATTCTACTATGATGCTGAGATATTCGCAAAACTTGTGTCTGGGACGAGATCGGGCAACGACCACCTTCTCCGGGAGTTCGCAAGTTGCACGCTGCACCATTGAGACTCTTGCTTTGCGTTTTTCTACCTAACACTGCCATCAGCAAGTCATAATGTTCTAAAATATACGTCTCAAGTAGTACTAGTACAAGAATTTCTCGGGAAGTTATCTTATACGTGTTTAAACGCCAATATTTGTGCATTAACCCATAGATGCTACAACGTAATGTGATTATCGGGAAAAATTTTGAAGTTGTCACATTGCCGTAGGAACTCATCTGATTTTGCATGAAAGTGATTACAACAGTGACAGCTAGAGTGACAGATTTACAGGGCTGCTCTGTATGCTGGACGAAATTTTACAAAATATTGAGATTGCCAAATTTTTGGCCTTAACGAATATTGAGGGGGCAGCAGTCTGATTGGGTTATCCGAAATTAGCTGGGTGTGGGCAAAAAAAGGCATTTTCCCTTTCTTAGTGAATATCGAACTAAAATTTCGCTCGTAGATTTGAAAGAACTGTGTATTGATTCAAAAGGCGTTTCAAAGTGTTCAGAATTTGCTATAATGTCTGATAACTTAAAATTATCACAGAATTTCTTTCACCTTAGTGTGAAAGCTCCCAGAGCCACGTATTTGCTTTTGAAATCATCGTTGTTATTTGTACAAGTTGTAAAGAATACTACTTGGCACAACTATTTCTTGTTTACTATGTTTTCATCTTATTCGGCAAGCTTGCTGTCTTTAGCTTGAAAATGTTATTTCATTTAAATCTCATTTAATTTAAGAAGGCGATGCTTTCGAAAAGAAGTTGCCAAAAACTTGAAGAACTTTGTAAGGAATATTGTATGATGGGAGATGTAAGTAGCATTTCTACAGGTTATGGAAGCTGGACATTTCTTTGGTGTTCACCACTCATGCAACTGTTCTTGGACGTCATCTCTGTGCCGGTGGTGTCGATCTATACAACAATATATCTCGAGTAAGCACTTCGAGCTGCGTCTTTTTCCTGTGAATGGTCAAGGTCGTTGCTTGTACACTTTGCTTTTGTCGTGGTGATTGCTTTCAAAGAACATTGACGAGGTAATTATTCTCGTACGCGGACGGAGTGTAAAAAATGGCCGTAAATAGAATGGATAATCAAGTTGTAACAATCAATATAGCCATCTAATCTTTTTTCGATTTTGGTGAAAGCAGATACGATTTTAATGGAAAGAAATAGTAATTGGTTAAAAAAGCAACCGCTATGAGGCAATTCTAATCACGGCCGAGCTTGTAAGCACTTTGGAATATTTCTTATTCATTTTATGGATTTTTTCTTTTGAAAATAGTCTTTTTGCTGAGTATTGGACTTTTCCATTTGAACCGTTCTACAGATTGATGTGGATCGTGAGGCTGGTGAAAGACAGATTTACCATCGTTACTGCATTGAAAGAGCTGCTGTACACCTTGCGCACGTCTTCACTACCGTTAGGTTTGGTCGTCGTTTTTTTCTCTCCTTTATTTTTTCTTATCTTTGTTTTTTTATTTCCACAGTGGTGTTCCTTCCTTACACTTGGGATATATATGAAAATCAGTTGGCTGCGGTCGTTTCGTAAAATTCGTTCTTCGTAGAACTTTTTCTGTTGTCCAACAAATTTTCTATTCCTTGTCATAGATTTCTGTTTGGTTCTTGACGGAAATCGATTGTCTGCATACACCTTACATACTACCTTGGCATCGTTACACATAGAATGGTTGCCTAACCACGTTGCTTTCCTGTGTGCTGGGATAATTTCGCATTATAATTTACTAGCGGTAACGGCTATTTCTCCAGCTTTGTTTTTCGATGTGAGCAGATAGGATACATTAACACATTATCGACGATTCTGGTTTTTCGATAAATAATAAAGTAACCCCGCTGACGGGTGATTGCTGTGGCAAAAAGATCGATAGAAATAGCTGAGAGACGTGCGAAACAAAGGACCCGCATGGTGTGGTGGTGAACGCGTTACTCTCCGGAAAGGATAATAGCGCGTTCGTTCCCCACCATAGACACCTGCGGTCCAGAGTTTTGCAAATATCTCAGCAACGTTGTGGTTGTATTTCGCTTAGTAACCTGCCATGAAAATTATAGAAGGCAGAAAACAAAACGTTAAACAAATAATAAAGTACTTGACGAAATAACATACTCATACAAGAAACTTTGTCGCTTTATGGGTCTATATAATCTTTCCCTAGTTTGTTCTAAAGCTTTCAAGGTTCAAATTGGATGGTGTCAAGAAAATGAAAATCTTCTCAAAGTCTGGTGCGAGGTTGTTTCCATTTATATGGTGCAAAAAGAACGACCGTTGTAACTTTAAACCAACATCTCGTTGCTCCCGTTGAACTTTATTAACCACTAGACTGGACTGTCTTGCCAATAATACGCAGTCCTTTTTCTCCTCACTACAGCGAAATTTTGACTTATTTAGTCCAGAAATGACCTTTTTGTAGCATTGATTTCGTTGACACTGCTATCGCGAACACAAAAGTGATCGAGCAAGTGGGATTTCGTCCAGTACAACTCATTCTTCCTCAAGCCATTGTTGGTGTTTTTCGCTGCTAAAGTTTATTAAGTTCTTAACTTCTCAAATACTCTACTTGTTGATAACTTGTCCGCAATTGTCGATAGAGCTACATTGCGCTTTAACTGTTAGAATCTTTTGACGCAATGGTGGCAACTATAAATGTGGACTATAGGTTGCAGACCACCATTTTGGATTACGACCACAACGATAGGGTAAAAACTGCCTGAAAGAAAGGCAAGGCAAGGGTATCAGTGGTGTATTGGGTGACACGTAATCCCCACCAAAGGGTAATGGTGGGTTCGAAAGTAGCCTAAGGCCCAAGCTTTACCAATAATTCAGCGTCATTGCGCTTTTAATCTTAACCGTTTTATTTGCTGCCTACTTTTTTTAATGGCAGGGTATATTGCGAAATATACCTTCAATGGTGCTGAGTTATTTGCGAAACTCCGGACCGCAGGTGTCTGCGGTGGGAACGAACGTGCTACTGCCCTTTCCGGGGAATAGAGCGTTCACCACCACACCATGCGGATCCTTCGTTTCGCCTGTATCTCAGCTAGCTGTCTCGTGCTACGCCTAGCTCACTGCTCCGAGGCGTCCTGCAAAACGCGTTGGATCGATCCCTACGTCCATGGCCCATCAAGCCTACCACATGTCCGTGGTCGTGGGCTAATTGGTACCAAACTTGTCTGGCAAGATAGCAACACTGGTTCGATACATCGGTAGGCCACCGCGAGTTATTGTAAGAGCCAGATATGCATTCAGTCATCTCCAACGATACTCAATGAAGTCGAATGCATGGCGCATCACCCAGACATTGATCAACGGAACTTTTTTGTCCTTTGATATCCTGCCGTGAAAAAATAATAGGCAGTATATAAACAGCTAACCATTTTGGATTGTTGAATGCAATCTCGGTTGCCCATCTGCATAGCTATTCGGGACATGAGCCTCGACAACTTTAAAAAAGGCGAAGAAAATACGTTTCATGAGGTACAGAAAACCGGAATTTTATTTGGTGAAATTAAAGAGCTCCCTTTCAACAGTTTACCGCCTCATCGTCGCTGGGAGGTGTTCCTGGGTGTTGGGCTGCGAAGTACAGCGGGGGATTCATCACCACGGCAGGGTTTCCCATGCTAAGGATGAGTCCGGCATTTCCACTAGGAAGCCTAGCTAAGAGTAAACCAGTACCAGGACCCACCATCATCCTGGTATCAAAGTCGCATGGTGGCAAATCTCTCTCTGATCCACAAGGGTGCGAGTGCCTGTAGTGGTGACGACCTCGGGCAGACTGCCAAGGCTGGCCTCTTAATTCCAGGGAACCGCAATGGCTTAGCCAGCAAATCTCCGAGAACTGGTGATTATGCTGGAGCCCGCACAACCAGTGAGGGCGGGCCGTTCACGTATTGAGTATCAAGTAAGTAAAGAGCTTGCATATAGTTGGCAGAGATCCGTAGATGTTTTCATTGGTTTTTGTTCCGATTAAGAAAGTTCGTGAGCTGTGTTCATTTGAAGGTCTTGATTACATTCGGACACATTTGCATTGAAGTCGATGCATATTGTCCTTACTGTGTTAGCTTTTTATCTGTGGATTTTTGGCTTTTGGCTGTGTAATTTGCAATCTGTTATACTCAGTACAGCAAAGCAGTTATTGCAGTTGTTAAACGTCCTCTAGGATTCCTAAGATTTGAGTGCGTACAAACAAATTTTTGAATTAATAGTTCAAAATAACCTTCGGTTTCTCTATTTGATCTTCCGTATTAAACCGTCGACGAGGAAATTTTCCGATAACATTCAGAATAATTCTTTATGGTTGATCGAACTTTACTACACCTACTTATGTCGTGGGGAAGAATTTAGTAGTACAGCTACTGAAAGTTGCTATATATTCAGCAAGGAAAAAACTACGGATGTGGCTGGTGTTCTTCAACATCGTGGACCGTTTAAGCTGGTATCAACTGCCAGTATTTGTTATGATCGCTAAATCGTAAATAAGACTGCGATATTTTTCCGCGCATGCTTTTAAACACCTCCCTAGAACTGTGATGTTGTAGAAGCGTCTGAGAATTTGACAAACAGCTTTGTTTTCTGCTTATTTCTGTTTCATGGTAGTCGTTTTTTCTCGTCTAATGCTTTGTTTCACGAATGATGTGTAAAACGACAGCACTTTTAATTGATTTTTACTAAGATTTTCAGTAATTCTTGCAGTGTTGTTTCGGTAAGGATTTGAATTTGAGCGCTTTGTATCTGTGGCGTGAAGGTTTAGTCATGTTAATAAAATGCAATCTGTAAGCTTTTCGCTTTGCATCGTGTATGTTGTGTTGAATTAGTTGAATTTTTGGAATTCTTCTTTGCCAAAGTTTAGTTTTAATCATTTTGGAAATTTTTTTTTCCTTCCACTTCAAAAAGAAGGAAGAAAACTTCTACTTTTTCACGTTTTTAAGTGTTAAACTATATTTGTTCGCAACAATTGAATTATTTGCAAATCGGGTGTTGGGTAAATAAAAATGTGATTAGAGGAGAGCATTGAGCTGATATATATGGTGATTGTACTAAATATTAAATCTTTTCGACTTGTCGGTCTTATTTTTGAGTCGCATAGAGGACTCATGCTCTCATGTAATTCATCACACTTCTCTTTTCTGTACTTTTTTTATCCCGAGGTAATCGTCCATAGATTTTTTTCTCCGTCATCATAGCTGAACTTGCAATATTGTCATATTTTGCAATGACCGATGCTAAATGCATGAATTGCAAACATGTGAAGTAATTAATTTTTAGTGAAATCACTGGACTGGAAGCGGAGTATCTTCTCGGTCGTAAGCCCGATATTCTCACTCCAAACGGTTTGAATGTAGTGAAATTCTCGGCGCTTCACGAATTCCAGAATCTACACGCGCTAGCTAAAGAGAAAATCCACGATTTCATTCGAGGTCATTTTTACGGGTTAGTTGGTGGTTTATTATCGTCATTGAAAAGAAAATTCTACTGTTGCCTCACTGTTGCTCGAGCTTATTCGGAAGTACCTCAGGATTTAGGAGCCCTAGAAAATTCGTCTCTTCTACGTTTTACTAGTATAACATATATAATAGACTTCTAATGCTCTATCTAGTAGTTTTACTTCCATCGTAGTGAAGAAGAACATGGGACTTTGAAAACGTGGTGCACATATTTCGAAAAACTAACAACTTTTTGGTGAGCCCATGCTGGGACGTTTTTTTGTATCGGGCGCCGAAACATTTCTGAAACGCAATAAGAGAAGCTATGGAAATATCAGATGGCTGAGGTTTCGTAAAGTTCTTGTTTGATGTTGGAATTTGGAGGCAATGCATGGGAAACTAATATGGCAATTTTAGAGACGTTCGAAAAAAGTTGCTGAACCATAATCCATCGAACATATAAGTTTCAATGCTTTTTTTTTTCAAGCCCTTACCTGCAGTTTAGTTTTGGCTGTAAGCCTCAATTATCCTTGTATGAGCGATGGTCTGGTTTTACGAAATTTGAGCTCATTTTTCTATGTTATGTCAATAATGGTGTCCTTGTAGGACAAATTTTCCTTGGAGTCTAAAGGTACTGTGTTCCTTTCTACATTGCCGATATTTCAAAGCACAGTCTTTTAGATGAGGTATAAAAATGAAGTCAGTGATTTCATGGCAATGAGACCTGTAATTATAAAGCAAGCGATAACCTGTGCTGAATTACTAATAATGTACAGCAACATAACCAATGACTATTGACAAGGTGCTTGGTATTTTTGAGTCAATTTTTATGAACCAAATGAGCAAAATCTTGCCGAAAACTAGTGGTAATTTGCTGGATGTTGTTTTTGAATTTATTCCTGTGAATTCGATAAACGAAGTATATCGGAAAGCTATTGAGAATCTACTAGACGCTTTCTTATAGTTGTTTTTGCAAATGAAGCGGAAAAAAATTCGACCGGAGAACTACTGGGAATGTGCTGGACGTGTTTCCTTAGGTAGTTTTTCTTAGTGTTCCCGCATTCTCTGCTTCAATACTCGGTTGCAGTTAAATATTACAGCGCGAACGTGGTAAATATGTTCACATTTAGGATCTACATTTCTTCTCTCATTTATTGGATGGCAATATAATTTGATTTACTGATTCACAATTGCTGATAATGTACGAGAATCTCTGTTTAGTTAGGCTAAGCCTCTCTTAATGTCGTTGAGCGTTGTATATTACAGATACACCCGTAACGTTGGGTATACCTTCAATGATGCTGAGATATTTGCAAAACTCCGGACCGCAGGTGTATGTGGTGGGGAACGAACGCGCTATTGTCCTTTCCGGGGAGTAGCGCGTTCATCACCACACCATGCTCGTCTTTCGATCGATAGAACTAGCTGAGAGACAGGCAAAACGAAGGACCCGGATGGTGTGGTGGTGGAGTGCGCTGCTTCGCGGTAAGGACAACAGCACGTGTTCGTTCCCCACCGTATACACCTGCGGTCCGGAGTTTTGCAAATATCTCAGCATCATTGAAGTTATATTTCACAATCTATACCCTGCCGTTAAAAAGAGTAGGCAGTAAATAATAAGTTAAAGTTGGGTATACCTCTTAAATAATACGTTATAAAGCTTATTTTTGTTACGCGTATACATATGTATACATGCGTATGTATGTATAAATGTGTGCATGTATGTAAGTATATATATATATATATATGCATGTATATGTATATATATATGTATATATATATATATATATGTATATATATATATATGGTATCTTGGCTAAGAGAATGGTAATGCTGTTCTCTTTTGAACAGTATACGTTGCATACTAAATATTTATTCGTTTTGGACTCCTACGCTTATTTTTTATTCAACAGAGCCAAACCGACGAGTTAGATAGCTTCAAAATTGTCCGAAAGACAACGACAAATAGTGATGTCAGTTCTTGTCTTCTCAGAGCCACCTAGAGTTAAATAGTGTGTGCAAACACTTTAGCAGATGTCAAAAGGGCTCATTTCTTTCAAAAATCGTCCATAGTTTTTTATTTATGTTGGTAAGAAGGCAACTGGTGACTGTAGAAAGTATAGGGGAACTGAATTGCGCAACCACGTAATGATATGAATTTTACAATGTTTTAATGCTGCCAAAGAGCTGTTATGGATGACTACACTGAGAGGTTTATCTCATTGATTCAGTATTTTCACGATGTGTTATGTATATATGTATACGCGTTTATTTGTATATGTACTTATATATAAATGTATGTATAAATACATATGCATATATGCACATATGTATTTGTGTGAAGATATACATATATATATATATACATGTGTATATATATATATATATATATATATATATATATAGAGAGAGAGAGAGAGAGAGAGCTGCATATATTTAGGTCTTGCTGAAGTTTTAAAGATCATCTTTGGAATGTAGTCCAGTGTTTTTGTACTGATGGTAGGTTAAATTGAGAACAACGCTTTTTGTGTAAAAGACAAGGCTTCGCAATAAATTGAGAACTTCAAACGCAGTACTTTAGTGCATCGGTCATTGTGTGTCCGCTTGACATGAATATTATGACTAAGAGCAATGAATATTTCCACCGAAAACACGCTTTTTTTATTTATCGATCAAGAAAGAAGTTGGTGATAACAACAATAGATAATCATTCGAAAACTGTGATATTGATGAGTCTTTTATTTTTGAATGATGATAGAATAATTTTCCGTAACAACTTTAAGCGATTCTTCGTGCCCTTTATTCATTAATTAGCATATTTTGCAAGCATGTGCAGTTGCAAAATCACTTAGGAAGAGTGCTTAAGACTTGATACTCTCTTCCTTTACTATTCTGAATTTCCCATTGGCTTCTTGCTAGTTAGTATTTTGTTACCAGGTTGGTCGTGATTGCGCCTATTAGTTTACTCTTAGTGAGGCTTCGTGATGAAAATGCGGAATTATTTCCCAATTTTGGGGACCCATCTGCCGGATGGACTTGAGCTATACCCGCAATTCGACACCTATGAGCACCGCCAGCCACGACTAAGTGGTGCACTAGGGTTATAGCAGTGCCTTCGATTTATTTTTTTAAATATTTTTTCAACCATACGGGAGTTGTTTTGTTGTCTAACCTTTCTCATGTTGTTTTTTCCCATTCTGTTCAAGTTGTTTTTCCAAAAAATGGTGTTTAATTTTAACCAGTGCCTAAAATCCTATTAATCTGTGAATAATAAAAGGTAATGATTTACAGCTATAACATCCTGCATCGCCATTTCAGAAATCTCAGTTTTGACCTGGATCGTACACTGTATTTCTTCACTGCAGGACGTTATGAATTCACGAACAAAGGGGGAGATGTTTTCATCGAAGCACTGGCTCGTCTAAACTGTAAACTTCAGGTTCGCTTGCTTTTATCAAAAGTGAAAATAATTTCTGAGAAATGCAATATATAGTTATTGCAAAGCAGATAGATTTAAAGCGGGATAAAGCATATAAAGAATAAAGCGTTCGGTGTTGATAGATCTCTTAAGATGCCCTTCGTTTTCGACTATATTAAGCATCGTTGGGTGATTTTATGTACATTTGGCCTAGACATGACTTGCGTGGCCTATTCATCTATCAAGGCAGTCTTCTTATTTTCGCTGATAGGTCTGATACCAATTTGCTGGTTTATCCGCTGCTCAAAATTGTACTAAAGAACCTGTTTTCATTTCAACCCACTTCTAACCACTGCGCAACACGCACCGCACCCTAGTGAAAAGAAAAATTATTATTGAGTTAATGAGTAGTTGTGGAGTTTTTTCTCTGTGTTTTGAAAGTAAGAGACGGTTTTTTTAATATAGAGAAAGGCCGCTATGTGTTATCCTTGTGTTAGTATTTTAGCTTTTCTTCCGAGTTACTATTTTTGTTTTTGAAATGTTGCGAATGTTCACTATTCTGAAGACACTTGAAACCGAAGAGTGGTATAGATATTTCGAAACAACTCTTAAACATAGTAGTCGAGACGTGGTGTGTGCAAGCGGTAGCTATTTGCAAAACGTGTTGACGAAATTGTCAAGCCGGTGTTCTTTGTTGTGTTCTTTTGTACACAATCGTAATTTTCTCCCCTCATTCATTTTCGTAAGTTTTCGTTCTAGGCGCATTTACTTGTTATGTGTTGTATTTATACTCACATTACTGTTCTGAATTCACAAAGCTCTGCTATGCTTTTGTAAGTGGACGACGTTATATCGAATCACCTTCACATTCGTATTTGAAATTGGGCTGCGTTTGGCAACAATTCCTTGTTGCGTTTCGTATTGTACATATCGGAGGCATTTCACAATGAGACTGTCGGCCGGTTTTAAATCCCATGTGCTGGGAACATGCTGTGACTACTGTATTTCGTAGAATAACGCTTTTTATAGTCTTGTTGATCATTTGAGTTGTTTTCTATTTTTCTTACTGTTTAATGACGCATTGATGTCGGCTGTGATAGAGATGGGAGGGAGTGGTTGTGATGGTTGTAATCTGCCCGTCATCACCTCCGTAATTTGTCCCCTGCAGGTGATCGAGTAACAGAGCACTAATGAACGACGTAACTCCCTCAATTGCACATTAATTTACCTGCTAAATTGTTTCTATCAATGTGTCGATTTACTCGTCGAGGCCAATCTTTCTATGACTTTCTATATATGTATATGTATTATGTGTGAATATACACATGTGCGTATGTGTATACATATATATGTCTGTATATGCACGTATGTGTGTGTGTGTCTATGTGTGCACTTGAGCAATAATGTACGTGAAATCCACGAAGAACGTGAAAATTTGTGAAGATCATTGTGGGCACGTGACAACTTCTATTCATATGTTCTGTCATTATTTGCCTTTTTACATGTTTATGGATGAACGGAAATAGAATAGGCAAATTCTATTTTATGTGGATCTGAAATACGCAGTCACTATTCCTTCACTTCAGCCATACCGTCTTTGTTTCTTCGCGTTTTCGATCAATGCTTAGCGCAAAGAATTAAACAGTTGATTTGTTTGTTTTGAATTCCTACCGATAACGGACACTTTCTGTATGGTTAACGTGTCATCGAAATGTGCTAATGCGAATTAGCGAAACACATCAGTATTCACATACACATGTCCTACAGTTTAGTAGTATGTAAATAGAATCATTGAAGTGTCCTGCGCATCATCCCTTTGTTTTTCATTGATACACCCCGGTAGGCCAATGGATCATATCGTTTCTAATTTGTGAGATTACCCAGCTTGCTTAATTACATCTATCTAATTATCAGGACTCATAAGAATTATGCGAAGAACTAAGTCTAATGAGGATTTTCTTTCAGTTTACCGTGTATCATTGCGAAATTCTTAATTCACCTCTTTTTCCGTCGCTATTTACGATTAGAATAATGAACGCGTTGGCAAACGTCGGGAAGTAGTTGTGCTTACGATGCTAATAACGAAGTTGAAAAGGAGAAAGAAGTTCGTTTTCAAATTAGCGTTGAGCAGTGAATTTGTGGTTAGCGTGAACAACGAATTGTGGAGGACTAAGCACTAGAAGAGTCAGTGGCTTATTTTTTGCAGATAAGTCCGCTAGCAATTCAACCAGATCACCAATCTGCACAACACCTACATAACCACCAATGAGACACTGTTTCTCTGCAGTATACCTCAAATTTCTCAGATATTTCTCAAGAGAATTCTATATAACACCCAAATCATTCTAAACTGTTCACTTTTCTATACCGTTGGATTTTATTTGGGACGTAAGTTTACTTTAGAAGGGGGGGCTTTGTACACGTGCTTTTTTTCCATCCCTCTTGGATATCGTCGTTTCGAATCATTTACATTTTTCCTGTCATATTCAGACGGAATTGCTGTTTTTGAGACGGATATTGCCACATCATTCATCGAATTTGTAAATTCTTGTCTTCTTACAGCTCACGTGTTGCGCCACTTCGTGCTTTTTTTCAATAACTACTACCTTATCGTTGGATAATATTTGTGTGTTCTGAGAGTTGGTTGCTTCTTTCCACTTTACGAGCAAACTTATTCATCTGTTCATCACTGGTAATTCTCATGAAGCTTTGATTTTCGAACTGCAACGTGCGACACCTTGTTGAGTATAATTTAATCATACCCATATGTAATACTCTCCATTATTTTCTCAGTCATCCAGCTGTATTTTGATTTAGGTGTTTCATTCTTTTCGGATGACCCTTGCTAGAAAAGAAACTATACTCATTTCAAGGTTTCTTCAGTGTGATTTCAGTTGGCTTTTTCAAAAGAGCCGCAATTTAACTCCTAGATGATCACAGCAGTATTTTAAAAAAAGGTTATTGTATGGGATTTTTGAGGACGGCATCGCAAAAATTCGGTTAGGGATTGCGTTATACCATTATTGTTCTTGTTAATGAGTAATCTTGTTGCCTTATACGATTTTTCATTCTTGTTAGTCGTTACATCTACTAGTACTGTGTCTGTTGTGGTGTCTTATCTATCGCATACATTATGATTGTCGTTCTTTGCTGTACTGTGATTCTGGTTTCTTGATTTACAGTTTCGCCGCCTCCATCGTCTCTGCCGCAGCGTCAATTGTTGCGAGTGACCCTTCCGGGCAAGCGCACTGCTTTGGCCACGCCCTCTTGACAATGCGATGCTAACCGGCCATGGACGTCGGTCTCAACATCATCGTTCTAATCGTCCTTTACTCAACCCTAGCCATTACCGGTCTTCTGGGAAATATTTGGGTGCTGATCACCGTCTCTTCGCAAGTGCTTGGTTGTTGCAGTACATCTACTCATCGTGGGCGTGTTGTTAAACCGAACACACAATCATCGGCCTACATATACCTATTGTTGCTTTCAGTAGTAGACTTAGTATCTCTGATTCCAGTGCCAATGCTAGTCACTGATTTACAAGAGAACGAGTTCATATTTGGCGTAGCGCTTTGTAAAGTGTTGTGGTTCAGTGAAGGCACGAATAAGACGTTGTCACCGATGATCTTGACAGCGCTTTCGATTGATCGCTACATTGCTGTATGCAAACCAGCTCTGATTTGGATGCGTCAAACGAAATTCGCCATTTTCGTCGCCTCCATCTGCATTATGGCTTCACTATTATTCATTGCCCCGATTACAGCACATGCTAAAATCGCCGACATGGAGGACTTCAACGGTATGGTGTACAGGAAATGTACACTGGACGAAAATTTCTGGTTTGATCTCGTCCACACCTTGATGTGTTACGTAGCACCTCTCATACTCATCTTTTCCGTGTACATCGTGATTCTCGCCAAGCTTTTCCGGCACACTCGATATTCGACTGTTGGCCGCAAGACCAGCATCTCCCTTTCTAGAGTAGTAAAATGCTCGGTGATGGTAGTGGCCTTCTATTTCATCTGTTGGACTCCATATTGGACGATGCGGATACAGGCTCTAGCAAACGGTTAGTGAAATCGTGTTTAATTCACGTTTTGGCCTGATAGTTAAGGTTTGGTTTCCATAAGCATTTCTATTTATTGACAGGATTGACAACATAGGAGGTGACAGCATTTTTTGAATGGTTCTATTTATTTTTGTTACTTTATTCGAATCAACACGCATCTATGTGATAGTTGAGGCAGGTCTTTGAAATCTGAGATTAATGCGAAATTTTCCGAATTAGAGCTTCCGAGAGCTGACGTTTTCACATGAATCCATTGTAATTTAATATTATTTACAAGGTAACAAAAAACGTAAAAGGCGGGAAACACAGTGCTGATAAATACCGCTGTTAGCAATACTTTAAAATCTTTGAAGGATGATTTTCAGGATGGGATCGTTTTTTTTTCAGGAACTTACTTCCAGCTCTAGAATGAAATTTATTCCCGATCGTTTTACATTACGTTCTAATCAGTTTTAGTAGGAGCTTCAGTTGTGAAGTTTGGTACCAGACTTATATCTGAAGAAGAATCTTCTTTTTTGTTTCTTTGAGTCTGGCGTTATCTCTGGCTCACTTTCTCGATTGTTTGCACACGATCTTATTTGACGGTCTGTAAACCACTTATCAGAGTCAGTGATGGGGTGATATGGTGGAAAGAATTAACTGTATTGAAGAAATCAATGATGACTGCTTAATTTTACAGAAGCAGAGAAGAACGTGGGAGTAACATCATCGAACAACACAAACGTTGACGAATTTGTCGAAGATATGGATGAGTCAGCTACGCCGGTGAACGGCATCTTTATTATGTATCTGATGCACTCACTTCCTTATGCACAAAGCGCGTTCAACTGGTTGTTCTATGCCTTTCTGAATCGGAATTTGCGAAATTCATCGGGGCGTTACAATAATGGCTTACGATCAGTGCCGATTACAAGCACTGTACTTGACAATGGTCCGAGTTCAGCCAGCGGTCTCACCCCGCTGTGGAAGAATCTGCAGCAAGTGGGAAGTCAGTTGAAAACAGTCAGTATCGATACCGGTAATGCATTACTACGAATGTCTCCGTTTCGTACACGGTCGAGGATTCAATCCAGGTATATCTTTTCTTGGTCGTCCATTAGTGGGAAATTTCTCGAGCATTTTACCTCTTCTGTTTGCTTACAGAAGCTCAACATGTCTCGATTCTAACTACTTGGATCAAATGATACCTCCATCATCATTGATGAGCTCTTCGTTACTGGATCTTCAACGAAGGGCATCAACTACATTGATACCGCGCGAGGAGCCATCATTAATTGGAAAAGCATTGTCATCAAGTGATTTGCCGATTTCCCAGGTTTTGAATAGGTCTTGTGAACCGACGCCATCGGTGGTGTCAGAAAGCTCATCCGTAGAGTGGTTATGATAGTCATCGATACGGTGTCCTTTAACGCATCATTCTTTTATATATTCGTGGTATGTAGCCATTGTTGAAATTGTTTGTCAGTCATATCGTGGTATCTTACCGATTTTCGTAATCGTATACGCTATCTTCTTTCGCCGACACAGAGTTATCGTGAAAGGGTGCATTTTATGATACTATGCAAGTGTATGTGTTTCCTCTTTTTTGCTTTATCATTGTTACTGATTACTCCGAGAAACGGACCGTTGTTACCATTTCTATTTTCATGTACATAATGTCTGTTTTCGTTTTTTTTTTATTACAAGATGGAATCAGAGTTCGTTCCGGTCAACTATTCTTGACGATCGCCTTGATGGCTTTTAACATAACTCGTGTGTAAGTGTGCCCGATCTCATGAATTCCTGATATATTTGTTATTTGCTACCTATAATATGGTAATGGATAAACACTAATAAGGTGCATATCTATCATGTCATACTGTAAAATATCAATAGTAAAGCGAAATGTTGTAGTATAATTATACGCATCTGGAAAATAACGAGGTTGCGGGAGCTTGTATCTGTTTTCTATTTGCACAGTATCAGATTACGCCTATTGTCGCCGTTATGTACGATAACAAACCGATCCTTGTAAGGGGGTTAACATCCATGTGCTAATTTTGCTGCTTTGCGCATCTGCCTAAGAAGTATTATAAATGCCAAGTGGTGAGAGAAGTAATAATACTAAAAGGAAAAAAAATCGCTGAGAAGTTTGTGGAAACAAGAATCCAGAAATGACTAAAAAGTGTCTGTTTTTTCTACTTTTATGTTTCTCTACACGGTATCCATTAGGATATGAAGCTTCGTAATTTTTCAGACGTCGACTGATTTACGTTGCAAGGATGTAACTGTAATAGCGTTCATCATTTATCCAGCAGCAGCTAACTCATTCAATGTGGATTCACTTCGTGGACAAGCCGTTTGTAAACAACTCAAGGATACCATAGCGAAAATAAAGGATAACATAGCAAATCGCATGTTCGAGGAGTCAGTGCGGTGAGGTTATGTCCTTTATTAATCGTTTTACTTCAAAAAGAACATGGAATATAGTTTACCATGGGTGTATTAGCAAGGTCAGTCTATTGCTGTCATACTCATCATGCCAAATTCTTTTTCTTATATTTGCGGTTAATTTTTTTTAGATATATTGATGTGGTCACTGAGATAAGCTTTACGAATTCAGTTTGGTTTGATCAGCTATTTACCGAAAGAGTGCTGCCCCTTCGTTACTAAATGGATGAAGTGGGACGAACAATTATTAGCGGTCGCAATCACCAGCTAATGCTCTCTTGCATTATTTTATCGCACTATTTATCTCCCGGGCTCTTAGATATAGGCGTCTCATCTTCTAGATTGCAGTATCGAATCAAAAACTCAGTAAGGCAATGAGATCACAAAGTAAGGCGACTGACTAGAAAGTGCGTGGGCGATTGTCGCGACGAGAGAAATTCATACTTGTTTTGTTGTAACGAGGTTCAAAGAAAATTTTTCTTTCAACAATGATTATAACCTATTATTCTCAACAAATATGGACTTAAGGATGTGGTCATAGGTTTTTTTCCCTTTAGAAATTGATTCGGAAAGTTGGATACGATTGGAGTGTTCAGCATATTACTTTCCGATCACTGCTATTTTCAGCGGCAGAGTTCCGGATCCGGAAGATTTGTTATTGTCGGCTGAAAAAGTTCAACTCAAACGTTGCATTTTAGCGGCGAAGGTATTATCTACTTTACTTACTTCTTTTTTTTCTCACGGTTCCTTCACCACATAGCAAGTGAGGTGGTAACTTGAGTGCTGTCAACTTTATGTGTGAAAATGACGACTGTCCTCCTAAACTCATTCATCACACTTGACTTTTTGAGACGAAATAAGTTTGGTTGAAGGGTTACTAATATTTGCGTTTTTGTTAAGCGTTGCATAATGTGCAAAGTAACTGAAACAGTGTTTTCTCTTTTCGATTCTCTCATATTCTTAAACATATGCTTGTTTTCGATTTGTCAACCAATGATATTCATTTTCAAGTTGGAAAAAAAGCAAGAAAGTATTACTGTTTTTTTCTCATTAGAAGGCTTGTAATATACTTTGGAGTCTTGTTTGCCGTATGCATAGATTTATGGAAGCATGCCAGTGATGAAAATCACTCTCGTTGATTAGCATCCACACAGAAAATGTGGTATAGTTCTTTATTTAGGCATAGAAACATGAATAATTCAGGCCTGAGGAGACATTGAATGAAATTATGTGATAGTGGTAGTGATGGTGATGATGGTACCAGTAATGTTAGTATTATTAGTAGTAATAACAAGAATCATCATAATAGTCGGGTCCTGATGTTTGGCTTTGTAAATGTAACGAGTAGGATGTAATTTTCATTGTTACATTTGCTTAATAGCTTTGCATTGCGTGGAAACATGGATTTTTGTGAAGGCGAATTTTTGATTAGCTGATGTCCATAAATTAGATAGTCATTGGCAAAAAGGACGAACAAAAGCCACGAAATAGGCAGTGATTATTCAAGAGATTGCTTCACTGACGAATTTGTTCAATAACGAGTAGGTATGTATGTATGATGAAGGAAAAAAGTTTGAGGTGGACCTCGTGAGAGACGAGTTTCTCTGCCTTTGCTTGGTGGGTGGTTGGAAGGTGAAGATGTGAAAAGATGCAAGTACGCGGGTCGAACATCTGTTTAAAGCGTGATTCGTAGTCTCCACTATGTTAAAGTGTTGTTTGGGTCTTCGCTGGTTAAGCGAAGTGGTTACTACAGGAAAATTAATTCATATAGTGGATAAATTACACTGTAATGGATATGCTATACTTGACTTTGAACTTCTTCTTTTGAAGTCACAGCTATACAAACATGTTACAAATAATTCCTAGATCTCTTCATATTACGAGTAAAGAGACAGACTAATTCTACTTCTTTCGTTGGCAATTGAATGCTTTTTCGAATTTAAATTGAGTGCTATTTTGCTTCTCTCAAAATGTGATCATCGATGTCTCTGCTGAGCTTCATATCTGCTAAAATTGTTTCCATATTTCGAAGCCTCTATTTCGTTGGCTCGGGCACGTATTCTGTAATTCTTTTAAGTGGTACTATAAATTTATGTCAGATTTCCATCTTGGTTCGATATATAATACTTTCGTTGTGATCAAATTCTTTGAGATTCTTCTTGCTTAAAAGTTACTTGTAGCAGCACATCTGTAACTCATTCAAATGATGAGCTATTTTAACGTGTCTGCAACCAGATGTTCCGTAACATAAGTTAACCACCTCTTATTTAAGAGCAGCTCATATCTAGCATGGAATTCGTGAAAACACAGGAAGAAAAAGGTATGAAACGTTACCGAAGCATATTTTTTTTTCCAACGTCCATTAAATGATGCAAGACTGTTCTTGCTAATAAGAGCTGTAACTAACATGTGTCGTTAGTTTATGGTTGCTATGTTCTATTAACATGTCTGTGTAGGGTATACTTTTCTGCATATAAGGAGCTGAGATTGTTTACTTATTGACAGGTGATAATCATGGAGTGAAATCAAGGAACTACACATGTTCATGAAGTAAATGAGATCAGATATGAATCTACTTATTATAGCGGGACACATATCCGCCGATTTGCACTCATAATATGTTGGACGACGCTAACGATCCAGTACTGCTAGCATTACGTCGTGTAAAGCTGTTCAATCATCATCATGATCGAGTGAAGGTGAGCACTGGCACTGGCATTGTTCTCTTCATCACCATCGTCATAGAGCAACACGAGGTCTGAATCGTGTTTGAAACCATTCGCATTCTTTTTTTTGAGATTAAAAAAAAGGATAAAGCGCTCGGCGTTGATCAATCTTTAGGGATGCGTTCGACTTCATTAAGCATCGTTTGGTGGTGTTTGAATGCACATCTGGCCTTTACAATGACTCGCGGTGGCCTGCCGATGTATCGAACAAGCGCTGCTGTCCTCCTAGACAAGTCTGCTACCCATTTGCCGATCCCGGAGGGATAGAAAGCTTGGTGGGCTAGGTGCGCGGGTATCGATTCCATGTGTATTGCAAGGCACCTCCTACCACTGCGCCACACGCGCACTTTTTTGTGGAAGTGCGGAGAAACTGCAAACCGTCACATAAACAATAATATCTAAGATTTTGAGTATATAAAAAGTCTTCGAATATTTCAATAACATCATGTGAAAATTTGTTGTGGCTCCGTGTATGTGTTGAGATTTCAATGGATCAATTTGAATTAGCACCATCGTTCATCAGTATCTTGCGGTTTCGTTTTTTTGAAATAGGCGAAGTCAGCCGAAATGTCGGCTATTGTGAGTCAAACGACTAATAACTGTTTTAAAAATACAGCGACTTATTGCTGCTTAATGAATCTCAATCATTTAAATGTGTTTTTTCGTTTGGTCTTACGCTAATGCTTTATGAGCGTCGGGTCACGATTGTAGCAGAGAAATAGTTCATAATCTTTCCCAGCATTACTTTTTTCTGGTGTAAGAATGTGAACAATGTGGCAGCGGAACAGGCTCAAAAAAACGTGGATTCATGGTACATTTTTCTTTTGATTTGATGACGAATTGGATGTCGTCGTTTACCAGACTTCTTACTAATCTAATACTGCCTAAGTAATTACGCAGCCATTTCTACATCAAAATAAGACTTTTTGGAGACATGTCTGTTAATATACAGGGTAAGCATTTGACTCCAGTTGTAAATTTGCATTTATAGAGCATTGTATTCATTAATCCTAGAAATATTAAAAATTATCAGTGGTTATCCAGATGATGAAGGACGTAAAAGTGAAGAAACGTTTAAATATCCTAGGTGATAGTGAAGACTAGTCCGCTCAGGAAACAGCTTTCATCGGAAGTTTGCACAGCTGCTATATGTAGGACGGATGTACTTGAACATTTTAAAACGCAATAGCGTGCTTCAAAAATTGCTTGGGATTCTAAGTATGATCTTATAGAAAGGGAAAAAAAAAGTATGTATGAAAATGTCTGTCAGTTTGCCTCGTGGTTTGCAACTAATGGCTTTCAGAGTATTAAGACTTTTACCGTAGCAATTTTTACCATCAATAGTACGCTACCACACTTCCTATTGAGTGACCACGGTTTTATTATTTTAGTTCTTTTTTTAGAATCCACCTTCAATTTAGAAGACTTCCGGTGATATTCCCTTTGACGGGCTTATTTTTCCCATTTGCAGTTTATCTCACTAAATGTTACCACATAAGTCATCCGTATCACGTCCATCTTCGAACATTACCGGTGGTTTACGAGGAAATGCGATTAAAAATGTGAAAGCTGGAAGAAGAACTGTGGATTTCTTAGTGGAAGTGGCTGACAATCCGCAAAGAAAACATTGAGCTCTCGTCAGAAGTTTGCATAGTCGCATTACATAAGAATGGATGAAAAATGTTATTATCAGTGATCAGCACATTTTTAGCATTAAAAACTGATTTTATGAGGACGAAAAAAATTGTGCTTAATATTTTGTCTTTCAGTTTTCTCTTCGAGAGAAAGTAAGTTGGTTTCTTTTGAATGCTGAGATTGACATTTAGATGTTATACCAATATTTATGAGATCGTCACCTTTATTTGATAGTAGTTTTACACCAAGTCATTAAAACCCTATTCTTTTGGGAACACGTAAAAGGTTACATTGTGTGTGTGTGTATGTGTATGTGTATGTGTGTGTATGTATATGTGTATGTGTATGTGTGTTCCTTTATTCCTATTCTTTTAATAATTATGAATTATCTTCGATTTCAGCACAAAATGTTTTAGTTAAATAAAATTCCTTTCCAGGTCGTTTTCCATCCAGAATTCCTTTCCTCAGTTTCGCCATTAATTGGTCTTGACTACGAGGATTTTGTCCGTGGATGTCATCTTGGTGTCTTTCCAAGCTATTACGAGCCATGGGGTTATACGCCAGGTATGATTATCAACTTTGACTATCACGGTTCCGAAGTAATTACTACTGAACTAGTGTAAATTTCGTCGGATCGTCAGTAGTAACAAACGAAATGAAGCTAAGATAGTGATTAGAAAAATAGAGAACAATTTTATGAAAAATTAGTTCATCTGCACAATGTTTTATGACCATGTTTCGGTTCTATACTTAAATAATCCAACTAAGCTACAGTTGGGGATATTACACGCAGCCAACCCACGTCAACTGTTTGTTGTAACTTGAGCCTAGTATTATTTCTGAGTTCAACAGCATTATTCTGCCTTGTCATGTTCTTCAAATTCATTCTAGACTAAAATTTTTCGTCTTCACCTTTAATGAGCTACCTAATTACAGCTGAATGCACAGTGATGGGAGTGCCATCCGTCACTACGAATCTCAGTGGTTTCGGATGTTTCATCAATGAACATGTGACGGATGCTAAAACTTATGGTATTTATGTCGTAGATCGCCGCTTCAAGGGCGCGAATGACTCAATCAATGAACTTGTCGATGACTTATATGAGTTTACGTAAGTGATATTGTTTGTTTTAACTCATTCTTGAACCTATACGATACCGTAGAGGGTTGTATAAAGTAAGAATTATGCTCTCATGTACAACTCTTCAAACGCATTTATACAGTTCAGAGAACGGTATAGGTGGTGTTACATGAATCATGATAGTAATGTTAGCTTGACTTAAAGTCAATCCAGGGAGGCAAAAGCCAGGAAAGATGATGCCTTCCCTTTTTTGGTGGTTTTCCCACGTTGCCATTTCGGCTTTTGGAGATCCTAGGAGGTTGATTGGCGTGGTGAATATGCTACGAAGGCTACCCTGAAACCTTAGTGCAAAGGGGTCTCGTGAAAGTCTACGTGAGATCTAAAAATACACTCTTTAGCGTACTGGTGTCGTGGGAATACTACACTCATTAGAATATGTTTGCGGTGAACGTAAAACTGGCCATATTGAGAACCTGAACATCTAAATCGTCTTACATCTTTGCTCTGCTCACCTTCTTGGTTCGTTAGGGTAACGTTATCCTTTTTCATATGCTTGTCGCGTCGTCAACGCATAATTGTACGTAACCGAACGGAGCGGCTTAGCGAACTACTTGATTGGAAAACTCTTTCAGTGGTCTGTTCACTTTCTATATTGACACTAGTTGTTGCTCTTAGAGATTGCAAACCCATCTTTTATTTTTGTAGTGCTTTCGTAGCTGCGTGTTATATATTGTAAATACTATAATACTATGTGATTTAAGTTATAGCATTCAGTTTTTAAAAAGTTTTAATGGGTCATTTTAGTTTTATCGAGACGCAAGGCGAATGGCACTACAAAAAACGCATCCGGACCTTGAGGTAACACAATTTGAACCATATTCTCAGCATGAACTTTCATAAAAAAAAACTCGTGTTTTTTAATGAGTATAGAAACAGTCAATAGCTCCAACACTAGTACTTAACTTCCAACACGAGTGTGTTGCACGCGTAGTGGCAATTTGGACGAAGTGCATTGGGCTCGGTCTATTCTCTTCTAAGTGGTTTAATTTGCCTCAAAGAGCTTTTTAGCTGTGCTTTTTCCATTTGGTCGATATCTTTTCAAACACATGCTGTGCATAAGTCGAGCACCTTGAGAATCTACTCTATACACTTTGTAATTTACGAAAAGAAAAACTTTATCGCACAAGTTTATTTCTCGTCGAGAGAATGTTGCTGGTAAGGTGGGTGCGGAGATATCTCTGCTGTATTTGAGCAGTAAGTTCGTCACTTAGGAACTTTTTTCGGTGTAGTAATATGATAAATCATTGGAAAGACTTCTTCAGAGCGGTTTTGTTAATTCCTCGAATGAAATTTGTCTTTTGCAACTGTTATCAAGTCTTGTTAGCATAATCTTTTATTGATATTGATGCTTTAAACTTAGTGCTTTGTAAAATTTATGCATAGATACGATTTACACGTTCTACACAGTAGCCACATAACGTGCATATTGAACATGGAACTGACATTCTTCATATATAAGTTGTAATTATCACATACTATCAACAATTTTTTGCACGGAATTTTTATGGATGAAGTTTTTTAAGCCAAAATTTGTGTTTTTTTTTATTAAGATTGTACAGTTTTTGTAGCTGTCACAGAAAGGATCTGAAGAGAAATGTTTGCTTAAACATGTGTTTTTGTGCTAGCACGCATTGCATGTTTTTGTAGCGTATTTCCAATCGTAATGCCTTGATATTGCCTCGTAACATCCTACACACATCGTCTTCACTTTCTCGGAGCACTGGTACCGGTTTCGCCAAAGAAATGCCAATTTCATGACATCGAAGCACTCATGTTTTCAATATAACCCATCTTGAAGTCATTCACAGCAATGTTTCCTGCACCTCCCTATAGATTTTTCGTGCATTCACCGTGCACATCTGAGTGATCTGCTAGCAAAATGGCCGCACGTGCCTGAACTACGGGTAAAAACACTTGCCTGTAAACTATGACGAGGCAGAAGTGCACTCAACACTTCCTAATTCAACTAATCTATAGACAATAGCCCGTCATCTGGTTCCTTATGTACATAAAGCTTTCAATAACTTGAGGTTTTCATAAGTTGGAGAAAGCATGCAGCAGCTGGACTGGAATTCCAGTAATCCTTTGACCATCGAATAATTTCCGTCTTAAGGCAGAGACCGATGAATCTTCTCTTGTCGTCCACGCTTGTAGTTTTCAACGTAAGATTGATTATCATCGATGCGTTAGTGGTAGTGAAGCAATACATTGTTTGGCCATTTATTGATGCCTTCATCAATACTATCATCACCGGTAGTACTCGTGAACCAATTCGTTTCCAGCATACTCTTCGACAGGTAACGCTAGAAGTGCTTTCATTATCCTCTGTGTATCCACCTTCTTCTTTGAAAAATCCATTGCGTTTCAATTGGTTATTTCTGGCATGGAAGGATAATTAGAGCGACGCTGAAGAGGTAAATGACAGTAGATACAAAAAAAACGAATAGGAAATGGTTCAAGGAGAAAATGAAGGAAGAAATGATAGAAAAGATAGAATACCTTCTCGTTTATTCGGATCGTCTAGAATATTTCTAGGGAACGAAAGAAAAAGGATCCTAGTTAACCTGACGAAAACTTTCGAATCCCGCGTATACACTCAGAGACCACGTTTTGAAATCGCTGACTTTTCTTTCCTTTATAATCTTTGCGTTGTATCATGTTTGTCGTAGGAATCTATCATAGCTATAATAGGGAAAAAACAGATACTTAGTAGCATATAGTGTAATGTGTATACTTTCGAATCCATCGCATGTAGCCCAATGGTTAGAGGAGCTCTACAACACAGCTCGTGTTTGGTTTGATCACGCATACCGAGCATACCAAAGGAGACATTTCTCAGGATCGACATATAGTTTCCTATATGAGAGAATACAAGCATCGATTTAGTACATCGATAGGCCCCGGTAAGTCATTTTGTACTCCAAGTATACAAACGGTCACATGTACGATTCTTAACAGAGTAGAATTCCCATTATCCATTAAGAGGTGGTCCCATTATCCATTAAGGGGTGGTAGCTACCAAACGCTTTATTTTTAACGCTGTACCCTTAGAGCGAAAGAACAGTGCGTTCTGTATTAGACTCTTAAGTTCTCATCTGGTCAAGTTCTGTCTTTGCGTTCTGAAGGAATTCTACGGAGTCATCGAGAAACTAGTGTTGTCCGTGACTGTATCGTTGTCATGAAATAAAGTTATATAGCATGTACAATTATGGAAAGTACTGAAATGAACTCAAAATAAGTTGAAGTGTTCACTGCGATGTGGTTTTATAGTGGATCATAGCATCAGATTGTTCGGAAAGTATTAGAAGATTCCAACTTTTATTCCTTAAAGTGGCATATCTCATCTCAGAACAAAGTTATTCGGTTTAGTAGAAGCCATTAGAAACTATGGATTTTTGTCTACAAGGGACGACTTAATTTCTTCTCTTTTTTTGAAACTCGGGAATTTTGAAGGTGATGAAATCACTGAAGACAGTATGAGCCTCATCTTGGCTTCTGAAACATTCTTAGCACAGGAAGTTATCGAAATGCTTGAAAAAGTGGAAGTGGTTAGGCCAGAGATATTTCAGGTATGTGGATGAGTAATGAAGATGGACGCGAGCACTGCAAGTATAGAAAAAATTACAGCCTATTATTGAAGAACCAGAATCGTTCATTATGTTCTTAAGCGATCTATTTGAATAGCGGACGAGTTATAGTACATTGTTAGGTGCCGTCCCATCTGTCGGCAACGAAATTACGCGTAGTGCGTTATGTGTTCAAGGTCATAGCTAGAATAACTATAAGTGTATGTTATAGAGATCCACATGAATTTCTGAAGAATAGAATGATTGATATGTGAAATTTATGTAAGATATTTAGACACTATTTTGAACTGTTGTCTGCATTCATAGGCTATTGACAATATCCATTATTCCTTCCTTTTAATTTTATTCCTTCAGCTGTTAAAGGGAAATCCGTTTGGGCTAAATGAAAACTATTTCTCATTAGGAATAAAATTCTTTAGAATGACAATAACCCTGTGCATTAGTGTAGGAGAGCCGTTCTATTGATCGCTAACCTATCAAAACGTTCCGTAATATTTATTGAAAGGGACTTATGTTGCGGAATTTTTAATTCACATGAACTTTTAGCAGAATGGTGTAATGAAGTTTTCATGGATGCTACAGAAGATTTCTCTCCAAATCTTATAACATTAATATGTTCTCCAGAACTCCTCATTAGTCATTGTATATCGCAAAGTCGGAAACACGTTGAAACCCACATCACTCTTTAGCGTTTCCACTGTACGATTCCGCTACGATGATGATGAAACAGAAAATTTCATTGTAATGTGTAAGGAACTGTACTAAGAAGATAACATGCTGTAAAATTATCGAAATCGGATTTAGATTAGTGTGGAACAGCTGTCACATCAGTAATTGCTTGAAAGGAAAAAGTAGGCGACATCATATCCGTACTATAGTTTAAGTTTTTCATGTCAGTAAAATGTCATCCATTTTCAATTTATTGTTTCCGCGAAGAATGTCATTACTTTACTCCATCCGATTTATAGATAAATGTTCCCAATAAGCGTTGCTAACCGATAGGAAGTCTATTGATACCACTATTTAGATGCGACTTTCACATGCCATGACTATGGTCCCTCGTCCCACATCGGCTCCAGGAACCCCATTAGTCTCAGGTCCAACTACACCTTACGATTCTAACACTGAAGAGGATAGCGAAGTCGATGAATACGAGGCACAACAGTGGAATCATGGATAGATGATCGGAAATTTCTAATTAGGGTATGGTCAGTAATATGATCACAATGTTGCCGTGTGAGTAATTGTTGTTGTAGAACAGCTGTATTTGAGAAGCACAGAGCAAAAAGCACATTCATCTTCACTAGTTCACTCTCATGCGCACAACTTTGGCATCATAAAGATTGTTTCTACTCGATTTACCAAGGATAGATTTTATTGTTAGTTAAGATTTGTATAAGTATATTGATCATACTGTGTCTTACTAATAGTGTTTCAACCGTATTCCATGATGACGAAGATTTTTAACAGGTTTTAGTTGCTCATTGGTGAAATCATTTATTTTTATAGCTGCTGTGAATTGATTTGCTTAATGGTTTTACTGGTTTTCGCAGTGCTGAAGTTAGAATACGGTTCTTTACTGGAATGAGTTTATTCACAAATGTTTACGTTTTTCATACATTGCGAGAAAATAAAAACTGAAATCCTGCTTCCATAGCAGCTGCTTCTTCAGACATTTGGGAGTGTTCTCGCTTTGCATTTCTCTTGAATACTATCACAAAGGTACTATCTTCTGTCTTGAATACTATCTTAGAAGTAACGATATAGTATGCGAAGATCTACTGATTCTTCTCATTATTCAGAGACAAGTGCAACTGAAACGTCTAACAATTAGCATATAAAGCGCCAAAGCTTAACGTTTAATGAACACGTGTATGAATCATTAGTACCATACCAATAACCTAGTAATTCATCGCTATATCTGTGATTTTTCTCACCTTGGAAATATCTCATACTACTTCGAAGAGGTGAACACTGACATCTGGTTTACTTGACGGTGTTATCATTTTGAATAGGAACACCGTTGTAATAGAGTTCAATGAGTATAACAAGGCAAAGAAAATGATAGAAATAGTACTCGGACAAGTGTACCGTAGCAGGAGGTCAGCGGCTTCACTTTCTTTGATTTGTCAATGGCATAGGGTTCTTGTACTGTCGAGCATTAACGAGAAATAGGGGTAGTTGGCTGACTTTGACGGCTGACATGGCGAAACTGACACAAAGCTGAATTTAAGGAGAACGATATTTGTGAGA